GTAGATCAGAGTTGCAGGGCAGAGGGATCTTTTTATTTAGTTTATTTTTCTTTATTTCTCGTCGGATTTTCAATGAAGAAAGGTGCACACATACGGACATGGTACCGTAGACAATGGATTTAAGTAGTAACAACAGTAATAAAAACTCTAGTTCTCCTAAATCCATGATTATGCCTTCTCGCTCCTCTCCCATATTTTCTCTATCCTCTCTCTTATCACTACCCTCTAAAAGCACCTTGCACCACACCACTTCCATTCCTCCGGATTCCCTAAATCACCTCTCCCCCGATTCCCATCCCGCGTCATCTGTCACTGAAATCAAATCATCTTCAAACCAAGACACAAATGAAAATTCACCTACCCCCTCTACTTCCCACGAACACCTTGCTAGTAAACCACCCCGTCGTCGTCGTCGTCGTCGTCATGCCACACACCTCCAATCCCTGTCCGCTGTCTACACCAATGCGAGACGACTACTAACCTTCATTGGGGCCGTCAACGGACACCCTGCGCGAATCCTCATTGATGGTGGAGCAGAAGGAAATGTATTGAGTTCAAAATTTTGCAGAAAACATAACATTATCATAGACAACGCGAACCCTATCCCTATCATTCATCCGAATGGCACAGCAGTCATGTCCTCAGGAACCGCATCTGTTACCCTTGAACGTGGTTCCTATGGTGAAAAGATTCAAAGTATCATCTACCCCTCGAAAAAATATGATCTCATCCTAGGGAAACCTTGGCTAACCGCAGTCAATCCCCAAATCAACTGGCGCACTAACGATTTACACTTTGAACACGATGGTAAACACATACTATGGGAATGTCGAGGGCATACCTCCTCCTCCGCTCGTCAAAATTGCCTTTCTGCCATAAACTTTGCTGCATTAGCATTAGAACCCGAAACGACAACATTCTTGGCCCAAGTAAGAACCACTTCACCACCAACAAACCTAGACTCAACACTACCCGAATCGATTCAACAAATTGTCCAAGTAGAATTTCCAGACCTCTTTCCTGACACACTACCGGACGGACTCCCTCAGGATCGTGGCGATAGCATGCGAATCGAGACTGAAAATAATACCGATCCACCTGTAAGACCAGTCATTCGCTTATCAATTGCTGAATTAGACGAACTAAAAACACAACTCACAGAACTACTGCGCAAAGGCTTCATCTCTCCAAGTACATCACCCTACGGAGCACCAGTTTTATTCGTTAAAAAGAAGGATGGCGGACTGAGGATGTGTGTAGACTACAGAGGATTAAACAAAATAACCCGTAAGAATCGCCATCCACTACCAAGAATCGACGAGCTAATAGATCGTTTCAGGACAGCACGATTTTTTACAAAGCTCGACTTACTATCCGGATATCATCAAATGCGCGTTCATCCAGACGACCGACATAAAACGGCATTTCGAACACGCTACGGTCACTATGAGTTTAACGTCGTCCCTTTCGGACTCACCAACGCACCTGCCGCCTTTTCAGCCATAATGCGCAACGTGTTGGATCCTGTGCTGGATAAATGCACCGTAGTTTACCTAGATGATATACTGATTTATTCTGATAACAAAGAGCAACATCTACAAGACATCAGAAACGTTCTTAGGCTCCTACGCAAGGCAGGCCTCTTTTGCAAGCTTTCCAAGTGTTCATTTATGCAAGAGGAGACAGAGTTCCTAGGCCATGTTATATCCAAAGATGGACTCAAAACAAACGGAGCACTGGTTAAGGCAGTTAGAGAATGGCCAACACCCACAACACAGCGCCACGTCATGCAGTTCCTTGGATTAACAAACTTCTATCATCAATACATCGACCACTATGCTGATATCGCGCTTCCCCTTACTGATCTGTTAGGCTCAACTACAACATTCTACTGGAGCAAGCCTCACCAAGAGGCCTTTGAAAGACTGAAGCAGGCAGTCACCATGGCACCCGTACTCAGAATTTTTGACCCTGCCCTAGCAACTTCCGTCGAAACTGATGCATCAGGTTTCGCCATTGGTGCAGTCTTGTTCCAAACAGATCACAAGGGCGAATCGCGCCCTGTTGCCTTTACATCACGAAAGTTGAGCTCTGCAGAACGAAACTACCCAACCCATGAGCAAGAATTACTAGCTGTCGTCCACGCCTTAAGAACATGGCGATACTATTTGGATGGATCTCATTTTATTGTCTATACTGACCATGCCACATTGCAGCATTTTCCAACCCAGCCAAACCTGACTCGGAGACAGGCCAGATGGATGGAACTCCTACAAGAATACGACTTCAACTTCAAGTACAAACCAGGCAAAGACAACATCGTCCCCGACGCTCTCTCAAGGAGGCCTGACCACAAGGCGCAGGATCCCGCCAGTGAGCAGATTAACTCCATAGAAATAAGTTTGGACCCAGGCTTACGGCAGCGCCTGATAAAGTGTTACCCATATGACCTTAAGTTAGGATCACTTTACGAAAGCTGCCGCGAGGCAAGTCCCTCTGATCGTTATTTTGTTGCTGATGACCTATTGTGGATTAACATCGCTGGACAGACACGTTTATGTATCCCGAATGATCCTAACATTCGCGCTCTCCTACTTCATGATGCACATGATTCTCCCATTGCTGGCCACCTCGGCTTCGAGAAAACATATGAAACCATGCGAAGGACTTTCTTTTGGCCACGAATGGCCCGAGACACCAAGACTTACATTGCATCATGCGAACAGTGCCAGCGAAATAAACCACTGCTTCATCATCCTGCCGGATTATTCAAACCTCTCGATATACCTCTTGAACGATGGGAAACTGTCACCATGGACTTCATTGGCCCTTTACCCAAGACGAACCGAGGGTTCAATGCCATAACTGTATTCGTAGACAAGTTATCCAAACAAGTCCACTTCTGCCCTAGCCATACAACGGACACTGCTTCAGATATCGCGCGACTCTTCTTCAATAATGTCTTCCGACTCCATGGCATGCCACGAGCTATTGTATCGGACAGAGACTCAAGATTCACGGGACACTTCTGGACCACATTGATGAAGCTCATGGGAACTAAACTCCATATGTCTACAGCATTCCATCCTCAGACAGACGGACAGACGGAGCGAGCCAACAGGACCCTGGAGGAAATGCTACGATCTTATGTCTCGTACAAACAGAATGACTGGGACTTGCTCTTACCAATGATGGAATTTGCATACAACAACTCCGTCAACCCCTCCACAGAGTTTTCCCCCTTTTTCCTAAACCACGGTCATCATCCCATTGTCCCATCATCCCTCTTGAAACCACCAACAACAGATGTACCGGCTATCTCTACCTTCATTTCCACTCAAGCCTCTGCGTTGGCGCAAGCACAAGACGCAATAGCGACAGCTCAGGACATCCAAAAACGCCAAGCAGATAAAGCACGATCACCCGCCAGGTTCACTGTAGGCGATAGTGTCTTACTGAGTACGGAGCATATCACTGTCGCAGCTCACGCAAACCGACCCTCCAAAAAGTTAGAACCAAAATTCATTGGACCATTCAAAATCATAGAGAAGATCAACGACAACGCGTACAAGCTCGAGCTACCTCCGAACATGAAACAACACCCTGTCTTCAATACAGATTTATTACGACATTATCACGAATCCCCGGAGAATTTCGGCGAACGAGCACCTGCCAGACCCCCACCAGATTTAGTCGATGGCGAAGAAGAATATGAAGTGGAAAAGATTCTGGATTACAAACTATTTGGCAGAACCCCCAAGTGGCTCGTGAAATGGAAGGGATATCCTGACGAAGAAGCAACATGGGAACGGAGATCCTCACTAGTTAATGCAAAAGAAGCACTGGAGGAATTTCAAAAAATGCAACAGTAACACCAAAATTATTTTTCTCTGTTTCTTTTTTCTTTATTTTTCTTCTCTTCTCTCTTCCTTTCTTCTTTTACTATCTCCTTTCCTCTCTTCCTCTCTTCCTTTTACCTTCCTTCTCTGCCCACTCCAGCATGGTAACAACCGCCATTTCCTCCATCAATCGACGACGTTCCCGTGCTCGCTCTTCTACACTCACATCCTGGGTCTGCAATGCACGAAACTCAAACGCTATCAGCGAAGAACACTCTCTTATCATCGACAGCCTCGGTCCCTCATGACGACTCCTCTTCCGTCGCCTCTCCGGCTCCTCAGGACCATCCTCTCCATCAACAGCTTCCCACTGTGCATTGTCACTCGTCGAACTTACAGAAGCCAAACGGACCCCAGCCCCCTCCACTCCCGACGTCGCTGAAGTACTCGACTCCACATGATCTCTGGCTTCCCTCACAGTTGGCGAATCGCCCACCTCAGGATACTCCTCCTTCGGTAGCATCCGCCCCAAGATTACAGGTGAAAGACGTGGAGACAATTCCAACCTCGTATCTAGCTCTTCCTCCTGGGGCACAGAATAAGGCTGTGTGGCGTCAGGGTCATCTGAAGAACCCTGGGAGCTTGGTACCGCCGACCGCTGTGTCAATACAACTTCAGAAAACACGCCACCAGAAGGAGCACGACCTTTACGCGGTGGCATTGGATGAGAAGCCTTGCGTGAAGACATCATGGAGACTTTTTTCCTTTTTTTGAAATAAGCAAAGAGGAATGAGGAAAGAATGCAACACGAACTCACCAACTCCATCGCCACTCATTCACCCATCCTCATCCACATGATCTGCATGAACCGCATGACCAGTAATTTTAACCAATCAGACATCACCACATCAATTTTTTTTTTTATTTATTATTTTATTTATTTCTCCTCTCTTCTCTTCGTTTTCTTTATTTCCATCAATTTTTTTTCTCTTTTCTTCTTCGATTTATGATCTCCTTCATTTTTGACGGGAAGGATGCAAACATGTTATACAATACTGACTCAAACCTTTGAGGAGGGCTCAACTATCACGCGCACCCCAGGCGCCAAGACGCCAAGCCCAAGTGCCAAGACACCAAGCCCCAACCCTATCAACTATCAGTATAAATAGTCCACTACGTTATAGCCAAATAAAGTATCCTTTGACCTTCGATTCCACCTAAGATCACCTTTGATTGTTACTATTTACAACGACCTCTGTAGACCATTCGCTGATCATTTTTTTTACTGAAGTCATTTACATTTGGGCCTAAAACAGAGAAAATAAAAATATAAAAAAAATTAATTCAATTGACCATGGTCTGAAGCGGTTAGAATGGGGATGGGTGAACTTACTCCTTTTAATTTGAATGATTATGTATGAAGCCAGATGCAGGTCTCTTTTCGAAGATGTTGGAGAGCTTGTCGCAAGGATTCAATTTAGACTTTGATACAATGTCGGTGAGCCGAACAGGCAAATCATCTTCACCGCAAGACATGTTAACTTTCCAAAGATCCATCTTGCTGTCGTCGATGGTGTCAAGGTCATCAGCCCATGCGATAGACCTTGACTTTATTTTCGCAGTTGTCCTTATTAGGCTTTTGAGTTGGGAAACGCTGGTGCGGGAGGGCGCCCAAACGTCAATAACGGCAGAAAGTGGTTCACCATCAAGTACGCAAAAAAGAGTGAACACCTTATTCTTGGGATGTGCATTTTTTTGGGAAGAATTGGTTTTAACGTACTTCAAGGAATCCATGGAAGAATGAGGATTGAAAGAATGAGAGCTGAAAGTGTAATTTGATGACTTTTTATTAAAAAAAAAAAGTATATCATTGATGATCTGTATTTTATTCTGAGCACATGCACAATCTACTCCATTCTCCTTTCCTCTTCTCCATTTGTTTACCTTTATTTGCCGATGATTGTTATCTTTACCAGTTGCATGTGCGTCATTTTGATATTTTAGTGAAAGAGCCCTGAGATTTTTTTCGCTGCCGACTCTTCTTTTCATTCTTTCTTTTTGCCTTTCCTTCCTTCTCTCCCTCGACAAAATGGAATCCAAAATGCCTAAATGTTCTTTCGACTATTGCAGTAAGGGCTATCTGAGCCCAGATCGAACTTTGTCGCATAACGAGAAGGAACATGTCAGAAAATACCACAAAGAAACGTCTTGTGTTTTCGGGTTCATGAAAAAAACATTCCGCTTCGACCGCCAAGAAAGCCATGACAATAGATATGTTTGTTATTGTGGGAAAACTTTTACTGTTTCCGATAGTCTTAAAGCTCATGCTACCGGGTTCATACGGACAAAAACCGAACAACCGGCCTGTACTGAAATCGTCAAGCAGTGCAATGACACTCAATCCGAAATTGATTTGGACAAGATGCGTGCAGATATCGACAAGGCCATTGAGGAAGCTAAAAAAAGCTATTGAATCCTTACAGTCAATTCGTGCACAACTTAATAAAGATCGCAGTCACAGTTTGACATAAAAACAAATTTAAACGTCGCACTTTCATTCCTTGTACTTTCATTAATTTCTCAACCTTCATTCATTTTCATTCTCTACTTTCATTCCTTTCTCTACCTTCCTTCATTTCTCTACTTTCATTTGCTATTTACCTCTCCCGATTCCCTCTCGCATTTCATCATCATTCGATCATGACAAAACTATTTTGCCTTCTTGATGGACAATCCACGGCATTCCCTGTTGAGGTCTCAGTAGAAGACACTATCGGCGACCTCAAAAAAGCAATCAAGAAGGAAAAAGAACCTGAATTCAACGACATTGCAGCTGACAAATTGATTCTCTTCCACGTCTCTGTTCCTGATGAGGGCGCTACAATCAATCTCGCCAATATTGAATCAAAGGAGCTACTCACCAGAGCAACAAGCAAGATCTCAAAGATATTCGGCATATCGCCTCTGCCTGAGGAGACTATCAACGTCATTATTCAGCGGCCATTGGAAGGTAAGGGATTAGCTATTTGTTCTCAAACTTTTGTGTATGACATCATAGTCTGCAATTGCGTCTTTTTGATTGCTGCTTCCATTTTGAGCTTATTTTCTCCACTAACTTATTTTCCCTCCATTCCGTTCCTAGTCACAAGTAATGAAACGCGTCATGCTGATTGATTGCTGATTTATCTCTAGAATGATGGCTGCTAACCAATATTTTTCTCTCCCGGCATCTTGCTTCGCAGACCGTCTATCAGAGGCCGAATTCGTGCAGCATGTTCTAAGCAATATCACTGGCACAGATCAAACGCTTCGATCCAAGACCAAGACCAGCACACGTCGTGTTTACTCGATAACTCCCGCGTCTGTGCGAGATTGGAATGACTTTTTACCTTTGGTACGCCGTATGCCTCTGGCAACCGAGCCTCAGTACACACGTCCTAGTTTTTCGTTAGTCAGGACCTTCACAACCGAGTCGGATTTACAAGGGATCTTTCGCTATGACGTTGGATCGGTCCGAGGCCTGCCGCCATTTACAGACACGCGCGGCTCTTTTAGATTGACGTACGGCACTCCAGACCTGGTTTGCTCGCGCGAGGATAACCGGTTGGCACTGTTTCCAATTGAAATGAAAAGACCTGTTAAGCTGCATCTGAATGACGACACCAGCTACTCCGTTGCCTACCTAGCACAAGGATCATCGTCACAGGGCCCAGTCGGTCCGCTAAAGCAGATTTTCGGCTACATTAGACTTAATGGATTTCGCTATGGAGTTCTGTCAACCTATACTCAAACATGGTTTATCAAACGAGACTCGGCACATGGCGACGGCATCCTAATCTCGCCCACAATCCACTTTGACAGGACAAACCCGACTCTACTGCAGTGTTACCTGTGGCTGATTCGGACGGTGGATAGTGATACTGAATGGCAGCCAGACATACCCGATGAGACCTCAGTTGAATACATGCTCTCGAAGGAGCAACCTGAGGATAAGGCTACAAAACGTGACAGTGACTTTGTTCCAGAACGTGGTGGTGGTGGAAAATGGAAGCAAGGATTCAGAGCCTATTTGACGCGAAGCAAGTAAGAGGCTAATACTCAAATGTGTTTTGATCGAGATTCTCTCACCATAGGTGGCTGATCATCCAGTTTTTGATTGCAATCTAGGACCAAGAAGCAGGCAACAGGATCTATGCAATTGGAGAGACGCACTGTTCCAGCTTTCAAGGATATGAGACTTATTACATTTGGCGAGGGTGCGCGTACGTTCCGAGCTACATGGATGGGCGAGGATGTAGTGGTGAAAAAAGCCGACATCTGGAAGCAGTCCCCAATTGTCGATGAGCTGGAGCACGAGGCCACGATTTACGAGGAGCTTCAGATGCTACAAGGTCACTTCGTTCCCGAACTGAAGCTAGCTGGGATCATGGACGGAATGGAGATGGTTTTAGTAACAGAGTTCACTGGGAGCGACCTCTGCAATAAGCATTTGGATGCATCTGATCGAGACAAGATCCGCGGAGCACTCTCAGCGATCCACGATTTGGGTGTCCTGCACGGTGATATTCGACCAGATAACATTACAGCAAGACTTGATGGGCAGGATTCGCGGTTCTTTTTTATAGACTTTGGCTGTTCAAAATTTGCAAAACACAATTCAGCCCTGGATCGCGAGATGGGAGAATTGGAGGCGCTACTTGAGCTGATGCCATGGCCCGAAGGTAAGGACGGTTAATACGGTAATGGTAATGGTCATCGTGCTTTTGCTTCTCAAAGTGTGTCAGGTTAACGCCTTAAAGTGTACAGATTATCGTGTAGGTAATGGAGGAGTTATGACAATCGGAGTGAATGGAACTAGCAAGTGCGAATAGCCGAGCTCAAATACAGCATGTTGCAGGCCAGGAAAGAATGACAGAATCCTTTTCTCATTCACCAAGGGTACCCATTGTCTTGCGTAGCTTAAAGCAATACCTAGCTGCAAATCGTTGTACAATAGCTGTTTGCTCGAACCTTTCAGTTCTTCAATTTCACCCAACGATAACCCGATGGATGGAGAGAGACATTTAACTTCGTTCGCATACTCGTAAGAAATAAAGCTACATAGCTCACGTAACGAATAATGTATATCATGGATCCCTGCTATATTAATGTGGTATCCAAAGAAGAAGTGGAGTCGAATGAGGATCCATCATCGTAAACACAGGGTTGTTATTGTCACCTGCTAATAGGGTAGGGAAACCAACTCCATGGCAGGTTTCTCAACAATGTGCAACAACATACAAGATGCTTCAAGTGAGAGCAAAACAGCAACAAAGAAGAAGGGAGCCAAAGCCCACCACTCCGTAGTTTGCATACTCCAATAAAGTCCATGTATTGCTTTTGCTTGCGTTGTTGCGGCGGACCAGGGATATTTATATTAAGGGAAAGTACTCTTTTTATTCGCACATCTACAAGAATCCAAGATGAAAATGTCGAAGGGAGAAATTTGTTTGAGTTGACACGAAAGAGCACTTCAGTGATTTGAAACTATGAGGGGAAGCAGTGCTTGCATCTTGGCAGCCGACTGGGGTTTCGACTATATATTCTTTAAATCTGTCGCTCGTGCGTCGTTAAATCGAGCGGATGGAGCTTGCTGCAAGGCAAACATATCCACCCCTTAAGGACACCACACGAGTGAAAGAAAAAAAAAAGAAAGATGATGTTCATACGAACAAATCTTCAACAAATGGCTTAATCTCAGCGGATCGTAGCAACAAGGCTACTCTACAGCTTACAGTACACCGTTGCTTAAAAGTCGTCTGCAATGGATTTATCTCTTCCAATATTTGAAATTAACATTAGCAGGAACCTCATGAAGCCTTTCCGCTCCACAAGATAACCCCACGTAGCATGATTCAGGAGCCGAAGCTCTATTCGTATTCAACTAATTATCGGAAAAGGCGGTAATCGTCGCGTTCTAGCACGGATTCTGACTTAGAGGCGCGTACTGAATTCTGCTCCAGTATGACAGGAAGAGCCGACATCGAAGGATCAAAAAGCAACGTCGCTATGAACGCTTGGCTGCCACAAGCCAGTTATTTCTGTGGAACTAATGAAAAAGAATGATTTTTGTGTAACATACCTAATCACAATCACATAATGATCTGGAAGTGCTACAAAGGACGCACTATCCTCATTATCAGAGTAGCCATGGGACAATTGTGTGTGACCTCTTTTATTCCTTCTGACCGAGAAAACTAAAAATAAAATAAATAAAATCTAGCGTTCGCTCTGATCTACTCTCTATCTTCTTTTTTCTCGCTCAGGAACACATCCAGCGTATTGAAGTTCCAAATGAGCGAGTATGACACTTCTGATCCAATTATACACTCTCTCCAGAGCCAGCTGGCTACACTCACCAGCCGGCTTGAGGCTCTCTCGACTAGCTCTGAATCCAGTCGATCGAACCCCTACTTGGTTCCAAAAGAACCAGCTTACGAAATTACACCTGACGACTCCCCAGCAATGGACGGGAAAGATTTTTTCAAACATAAATCTGGAAACCGTGCAGACGATCTTGCATATGCAACAGAAATGGCTAAAGAGATGCAGTCTTTTGCCAAAAACACAACCCAAACCTATTCTGCACCCAAATCGGCACTCATTGACTGGCCCGACTCTTCCTCTCACCACAGTTCCATGGACAAAACAATCTCACGCTATCAATCACGATTGGCAAACCTTACAAGACCACTTGATCAATTTGCCACGGAAATGTTTTCCTACGAAGTTGACCCTGCGGTCGCACAAGCGTGCTTACAGCTCGCACAGACAATGCGTGAACATATTGCACACCTTGCACAGCAAATGTCAAGCGACAGGGAGGACCTTGTTTACCAAGCGCACAAAATTTCAGTCACCAAGGACACAGTTGATCCACCAATTGTCTCTACTTCAGACTTCATTGAAGCCAGCAAATTGGCAAAGAGTGTTCGTCAGGCTACTAACCCGACAAGACAACGGGCGTACAACAGGAGGACTCAAAACCGGAGTTTCTTTAGCGCAAATACTTACAGACCCACTTCTAATTCTAGCCAATCTCATCCATCGGGTCAAACTCAGACCGCCCACTATCAAAATGACAATGGTTCTTTTTTTGGGCGAGGCCAAAATCCAAGGAGAGGGGGACGAGGCCGAGGCCGAGGCTACCAAACCCCTCAATCCAACCAGACAAGTCAGGCACAGACTGCAGGCCAGCAGTAGGTGGCCGTTTACAGATTTACAGAGAAGCATGGGCTCTCATAACCGACAGCGAATGGGTCAAGTCGGTCGTCTCCGAGGGATTCAAAATCCCTTTCCACAAACGGCCACCGATATCCAGTTCAACAGCGTACCAAGCTCGAGTAGCAGCGGAGGAAGAGAAGGCGATCGATCAAGAGGTAATCGCACTCTTAGCCAAAAGAGCAATAGAGGTCGCTTCGGGCCCTGGTTTCAAGAGCCGAATATTCACTATCCCCAAGAAAACCGGGGACATTCGACCAGTCTTAAATCTAAGACCGTTGAATGCCTACGTCTCAGAGCGGCACTTCAAAATGGAGACGATGACGACAGTATGCGCAATGTTACAGAAGAACGACTTTATGACAAGCATCAACCTATCAGACGCATTTCTTCACGTACTAATCCATCCAGATTATCGTCATTATCTACAGTTCCAATGGAAGAACCGGAAATTTCAATTCCGTACACTTCCCTTCGGGCTCTCGCTCTCTCCGCTAGTGTTCACCAAAGTTCTCAAGCCTTTCCTCAAATGGGCACGACGACGAGGAATTCGCATATCAGCGTACCTAGACGATTTGATAATCCTAGCCAAGAACAAAGAACAATCAATCCAGTTCACTCAACTAGTGCAAGACAAGTTGGCAGCGCTAGGATTCCTCATCAAGGAAGCCAAGTCTACGTTGATCCCGTCACAGAAAATAGACCATTAGGCTTCACCATCAACTCCCGGGATATGACTGTCACAGTTCCGAAATCCAAAGTCAGGGACATACGGCGCGAGGCGGGAAAGCTGCTACGAAAAGGCGCCACTTCTTTAAGGGAACTTTCTTCGTTCGTCGGGAAAGCAATGGCAACATCTATGGCAGTGTTCCCAGCGCGATTCATGACACGAAACCTGCTTCACCTCAAGAACACAGCACTAAAAGCCAAGGGAGCTTCTTGGTCAGGCACGGTCACCCTCACGGAACCAGCCAAGGAGAACCTTCAATGGTGGAAGGAGCAACTGACGTCATGGAATGGTCTGTCATGGATTCAACAACAGACACAAATGGACATATACACGGATGCATCGGACACCGGATGGGGGATCGTGATCAACAATCAAACATGGAGTGGCAAATGGACTCCACAAGAGAAAGACCACCACATCAACTGGAAGGAACTACAGACAGTTCTTCGAGCTGTTCAACTACCAATAACACAGGGCAAAATGATCAACATCATATGCGACAACACGACAACGATTGCACACATCAACAGGTTCGGAGGGACGAGGTCACCGGAACTAATGAGACTAGCGGACACGTTATGGCGTCACTGCCTAGCAACGGGGACTCGACTTCGGACGACATACATCCCATCTGCATTCAACCCAGCGGATGCACCGTCACGGCGAATGATATCGCAATTGGAATGGAGGATCAGTCGCCCATTCTTTCAACAACTGGAACACCAATGGGGGCCACATCAGGTGGACCTATTTGCGTCGGCACAGAACAAACAGCTACCGACATTTGTCTCATGGAAATTCCATCCAGATGCTCTGAAGATAGACGCCCTTCAACACAACTGGACAGAGATGGGCAACCTTTACATTTGCCCCCCATGGAATCTTCTATCAATCATCTTGGAGAGGATACAGACCCAGAAACTGACAGCAACAGTAATAACCCCATGGTGGCCGAGTGCAATATGGTTCCCAACCATCAAGGAGATGGCAGTAGCACCACCAATCCCGATCCCTCGGGAAGCAGTCCTACCAGCCGTCGGAAGCGCAAGCGATCTCCTCAGCAAGAATCCACTCTGGTCATTGACAGCATGGAGAATAAGAGGCGACGTAAAGATCTAGATGCAGGACTCTCACCATCCGCTATCACTCTACTAGATTCAGCAGGTGCCAACAGCAAAACACGTCGACAATATCTGCCAACTCAAGAGGCTTTCGCAGTATGGGCTCAACAAGAAGGCTTCGACCCTAGTACGCCAGATGCAATTGCTGTAGTTAACTATTTATGCCATGCGCGGATTATCTATTCTTGGAGTAGGAATACCACTCTTAACAAAAAATCAGCCATCTTAAAGCTTTACGACGACACATCCGTGATCACAGGCAATATCTACTTTCAGCGGTTCATGGCAGCAATGAAAAGTACTGGCGTATTTCAAATGGAGCACGTATCCGCACTCGACATTTCACCCATCCTTTCATACTTCCGCATGGAGGACAATGTGGATCTTGATATGCCTAAGCTCTCTCGCAAGCTCTGCTGGCTCTTAGGCGTTTGTGCGTTTCTCCGGCCAGATGATATCGGTTGCATCGATGTGTCAAAGTCAGAGACCAATGAAAAGGGTCTTCTCCTTACCATAGTCTTCCCTAAGGAGCGACGCGATGGGCAGCGCATCATAAAGTCGATCTTCGTAGGTAGACACCCTAACGACAAGAAAATTTGCCCAGTCGAGGCCTATACAGAATACACCAGACGGATAGCGGACACACCTCTCGAAATCGAGCACCACAAAGATCAGGATTATAAATTCAATCCTCTTATGCGCTTTGTGAAAGACAAGTCTAAAGTCCTTAGGGTCAGTACCATAGGCGCTTTTATGAATGAAATCACACGTCGAATTCCAAATCTTCCGTCGAAACGGCCTCCTCCAAAGCCGCGCGCTATAGGATCAACCTTGGCAGCCATCGCTGGCGTATCAACCCAAGATATCATGGTTCAAGGGAATTGGTCGTCTGACAAGGTTTTCAACAAACACTACCGTGTTTCCCGCAAAACCAATTCAAATTTGACGACGTCTGTTTTTGGTTCGCTCTGAAGTCACATATGGACCATGGCTACGAGGATAATGATCTGGAAGTGCTACAAAGGACGCACTATCCTCATTATCAGAGTAGCCATGGGACATATGTCCCTCCCACACCTCCCTTTTCTTTTCACTCGTTACTAGATAGAGAGTAGATCAGAGCGAACGCTAGATTTTATTTATTTTATTTTTAGTTTTTTCTCGGTCAGAAGGAATAAAAAGAGGTCACACATATGTCCCATGGCTACTCTGATAATGAGGATAGTGCGTCCTTTGTAGCACTTCCAGATCATTTTATTTTATTTTTTTGCTTAACTCAGTGACCGCTCTCTGTACACAGCTCAGCCGAGAGATGACCCACACAGGACGCATCCGAGTCCAAGGCTGCGATTTCAAAGACAGTGAGGAGGAAAATGTCTTTATCCTCTTCCTACCACTGTACTTACGCTCACCCATATCACTCACAGCAAACAACAGGTACTTGGTTATGATGGGAAACTATCAAGTGCAAACATTTTATTTTCCTCAATCTTTGTGGATTGAACATAGCTCTAAGGAGTTGGCAGAAAAGAGCTATCCCTTCTCAAACAAGCTTGAAGACTCATTTGCGCGCGGAGCTTTGGATCCAATGATGACTTATTTCTCCCCAGGGGATGACTAGGCTTTTGCGCTTGATTGGGCTAACCGATCCTCGCTGGAGTACGGCGTATGGCAAGGGGATCCGCTGAAGCCAGATGTGACGATTCGAAAGTACATTTTTGAGACGGCTTATGCTGAGACCAAGTCGTCTAAGGACAAGCGAAGCCTACATTTATTTCTCGAAGACCAATGGAGCCTAATGAGGTTTGCCAAGGACACGATTGACGAGAACCTACGTGATGAACGGGTTGTGATGGAGATCCCTTGTCTGCAAGTGTTTGGTAAGTCTATGTGACTTATGTGGCAATAACGCGCCACACACCTTGACGAGATAAATTTTCGATATGAGGTTCTAGAACAAATCAATGCCATCTTATAGATAGATATGTAGTTACCCGCTACAGGTTCCTCTACCAGGGAATGAATAAATACCTCCATGGGTGTGGGCCCACATCTAATTCTTACTTACTTTTTCTACTGCTCACGATCTATCTACAAAATATATTTCAGTCTCGTTATCGCCGTCAGAGGTCATGATTTGAGTGGTCGTGGACATGTTCAGCCCGTTGGCATTGCCAAAGACCCCAGGAAGGCATAACAGCTCTGATTCTTTCTCGAAATAAGCCATCATATTCAGCCTTACTTTGAAGCTTTTGACCGTTATGGCAATTTCTTTGACTACTTTGTATATGTGGGGCGTTAGGCAAGTTAGTAAACAGATGACTAAAGGGATAAGAGGCACTGCGTGAACAAAGTGCTTTGCGAACGAGCATTGTCTACGGTACCATATCCGTATAAATATTAAATAAAACCCTGCTAATCCGACTTGCACCTACCTTTCGAGCTAATAGGGTGGTGCGGGTGGGACATACGTCCATGGCACCTATGACAATGTGAATAGGCCATCCTTCGTAGACCATTCAATAGAAAAAAGAGGTGAGTGGAAAGACAGAAAGTGCTGTATGTGGAAACTTATGCTTGAATGAGTAAAAGGAAGGAAAAGTCTATCTGGTGGAATGGAGACTTTGACTGAAACTGATCAAAGTGATTGAAGCTGATTAAAAAAAAAAAAAAAAAAAAAAACTCCATATACATATATTTATCATCATTCCCGTAGTAAACTCAGGTTACAGTATGGGAGATTTAGAATACGAACCGAAGCTCTATCAGCCTGCCTCGTTCAGCATCGGCTAAAGCAGAAATTGTCTAGTTGAAGGGGTGGAGATGGCTGGTTATTAATTGAATAAACGAAAGTTGTGTAACAGAATCATCGAAGAGAAAGGTTGGCATATTTTACTGCTCTGGTAACTAGCACTCCTACTATTGATTCCCCTGCTGTTGTTGTTTGTAATAGCTTAGAGAGACAAAGATTATTAAAACAAACCTTTTCAGGCTTAAGACTATATATATTAAAACAAGCCTTTTCAGGCTTAAGACTAAATATTGTCACATTGTTACTCTTTGAACTCTCTTGTTGTTTTGAATCCGGACATAAAAAGTGAAGATGTCGATGGTGTTTGCAGGATTGCCACTGCCGCTATTGCTGTTGCTGTTTTTGTTTCTGTTTTAAGTTTAGAGCTAGAATCCTTAGTTGCATAATGCTTCATACACGTACTTTCTCTTTTGGATGTTCCCTGCTCACGAAGTCTGGGCTTTGCGCTGACCAAAGCTGTGGAGTGCTTTACTGCATCAGTCTAGATAACGCGGTCAGGTTGTGAAGCAATGGATTTAACCGATGTCGATGGTAATAAGGCTGTTTGATGTTGTATCGTGAGAAGAATGTATATGGGCAGCAGTTGTGCCATTTCAATCCGATTTTGCAGTTGCCTCGTTATCTTTTGCCTGGGGCATAGAGTATGGTTCAGATTCCCATATTGATTCCCATATTGATTCCAATCTAGCTACTGGACCACGTATAAACTTTCTGTGAATTCGGTTAGGACTGCGGCTGTTATAATTGACTGACTGCATCCACGACGAGGACGATGACCAATCATTAGCTGTATGGGCATTTGACAACAGTGTTGGGGCTGCAGTTGTTATACTTGAATGACCGCGTCCACGACGAGGACGACGACGCGCCATTAGCTGTGTTGGCATTTAACGACGGTGGGACCATTCGGGTATAGCTTTCCATAATATTTCTAGCACGGAAGGCACTTGATCCAGAAGTAAAGGTTGTCAAGGCTTTAGTGGCAGCATCTTTGACGTCACTGTTATTGCCACCAATACTGTTGCTGATTAGGTTCGGTTGGGTCTTTTTGACAGTAACATGACGAGGAACAGGTCCTGAGGTGGCAACGGAGTGTGATACCATAATAATTGACGATGAGGTAGTCGCCATTGCTGCTATAGTTAAATCTATGATCGTACTTGCCGTGCTATACTGCTTGTCTTCTATTTTTCTTTGTCTTTGTTTCTTTTTATATCGTCGTTTCTTTGACAGCTGAGTGTTATGCTGAGTAAGAGGGTCAGAGGGCTCTTTGCGTTTCCTGATGGAATGTGGCGCCATAGTAGCTGGTGATGAGATAGCTGTTATTGTTGTTGTAATTAATGCTGTACTTGAGCTTGCCATGCTGCACTGGTTACTTTCTATTTCTTCTTGCCCTTGTTTCTTTTCATATCATCGTTTCTTTGGCAGCTGAGTGTCATGCTGGATAGGAGGGTTAGAGAGTTCTTTTCGTTTTGTGATGAAATGCATTTTTCTTTCTGGATAAGCAATGGGGAACTCAGTTGGAAAATAAAAAAGTGAAGGTATACTATTGCGATTAGCAATCATTTACATGGGTTATTACAATGGCTAATTTTTTACCTCTGGACCAACCGATTTGCGATTTCAAAGTATTGACTAAATAACGAATACATATTCAGCATCTTACTCTTTTGCGCCTTCTAGGGAGTTTATTCAAAAATAAAATAAAATAAAAAAAAATAAAAAAGAAAGCGGCGTAGCGGGAATTGAAATGGGTAATCTGCGCGCTTGTGATATCATCCGTCAATTTTCATATGCTCGCAAGGTGGAGAAAGAGAAAACTCTTACAGGTGGAGGGATAACCATCCTCAAAGATATGCAGGGTCATATATACATACAACAACAAGAGCACGAGCCACAATGCTCTCTTTGTATGGTGTGCAACAAAGAGAGAAAGGAAAACAGTGAGCGATGTGACGCGACTAAAGTAAAAGGACAGGATTCAGAGCACAAGCTTATCAACACTCGCATACTCCCATTTTTCGCCAGCATTAAGCTCGAGTACCTTTTTTTCTTTAGCAATGGGGTTCATCAGGTACTGTCAGTAGAGTTTGCTATTTGACTCTCTTCTCCCATTCTTTCTCTTCATCCTTAACAAAGAATAGGATGCATTGTCGTGGGAACTGTGCTGCGGCAGTTTTTGTTCAAACAGACTTTTTTCCTTTTTTTCTTTTCCTTATTTTCCTTTTCAAAGAGCCAAAGAGATACGACACGTCATTTCCTCGATACGATCGTGTGCTTTTTACTGGTCGATATATAAACGTTGATACTTTGTTTCACCTTCAAATCTTAATGTATTCTACATTGTATTGCATGAAAATAAAAAATAAAAATAAAAAAAAAAAAAGGCGCAGAGGTATTCTTACGAATGTCATGTGTTATTTTCCACCACACTCTGGAAAAACGGCAAGCTGCCAAAGTACAGGTCCAACGACAGTCTATCCCATCTCTTGTTAGGAGTGAAGAAAGGAAATAGAAGAAGAGGATAAAGAAGATAATCTCCTTTATCAATAAGAGTAAACAAGCTCGAGAGCAATACAGTCCATGCTCTGGTTGTTTATAGACAGGTTTTCCTTATGAGTCTTGAGGACAGAGCATTATTCCCACTTTCAATCGTGAGAGTCTCTTCTTTATCATATGAAATATGACAGATGACATCAAAGACACGTATATTTATTTATTTTTTATCTTTTTATATTGTTGTTTATCTTTTTAAATTGTTGCTTATCTTTTATTGGTCGCTCTTGAGCGTACAGCAAGCAAGGTACTTAGTACAGCGCGCTTTTGAACACCAATCACTCCTCGGCCCTTCTCCTCTTCTTGCGCGAACGTAAATAATAATAATAAGAAACCAATATAAAAAGGACTAATTTTGACTCTCTTCTTTTTTCTTCTTTTCTCTTCTCTTTCTCCTCGGTCTCCTCGACCATCGGCCTCCTCAACCAAGACAAAAAGGTAAGCAACACTCCCTAAACAATCACTCTTACTGAAGTTCTCAACACTGTCACTCTGTGCTTCACTGTCCTTGTTCTGATTATTTATTTTCTGCTTGTGTCTCTCTTTTCATTCCACGATTAGACTGCAACGACATGAAGCTGGCTAAAGCAACTGGGGCTTCATAACGCACAGCCAGGCTGCCACACTCAGGCGCCCATACTCGAACGGCTGCACTCCAACGAAAAGCCGTATTCAACTGGCCACGCTCCAGATGGCCACGCTCCAGACGGCCACGCTCCAGATGGCCACGCTCTAAACAGCCACGCTCTAAACGGCCTCGTACAAAGGCCAGTCTGCCGCAGTCAAACGAACAGACCTTCTCCACGGCCGTATAGCCAGCCCACCCCATCTTGGGATGATGGTCAAGGCTTCACGAATAATCCTAAATCATAGCAACCAGACCACTTCCCACAGCGTGGTCTGGAAGGCACTGGTACCGAAGCTCGACGCCACTAGGCGAAGGGTGAAACCAAAGAGAGGCCGAACAGTCCATCCAGGCAAAAAACAAACGCCTCCGGAAACAAATGCCTCAAAAAAAAAAGAAAAAAAAAAAAAAAAGAAAAAAAAAAAAAAACTAAATCAAAAAAAAAAAAAAGAAAAAAATCCAAAGAAAAAAAGAAACCAAAAAAAAAAAAAAAAAAAATCCAAAGAAAAGAAAAAGAAAGAAAAAAACCAAAGAAAAAAACCAAAGAAAAAAACCAAAGAAAAAAACCAAAGAAAAAAACCAAAAAAATAAACCAAAAAAACCAAAGAAAAAAAAAAATAACCCAAAGAAAAAACACAATTAAAAAAAAATTAACCAAAGAAAAAAAAAACCAAAAAAAAAGACTCAATAAAAGCCCCAAAAAAGAAAAGTAAAAAAAAAGATCTCATATCAGAAAGAAGAAAAAAGAAAAAAGAAAAAAGAAAAAAAGAAAAAAAAAAACCAATTAAAAACATAAGAAAGCCAAAAAAAAAAAAAAAAAAAAAAAAAAAACTCTTACTAACACAACACAAAGCACTCTTTAACATAGCAACAATGCACATCCAAGGTGCAATAACCAATGCATATCTAAGGTAGGTCCGAACGGGCATGAGCCTGAGCTGGTTCTTTAACGAGCCTTGCGATGGCGGAGCCCTTCGGTCCAGAATGGGAAAGGGAATGGGGATGGGGATGGGAATGGGTTAATAAATGTGTGTGTGTGCGGGCGTTTGCAAGGCCATGGGGCCTGACCAACGGAGCACGATATGCCAGACCACCTCCACGTGGTGTGCTCCGGACAACATCTTGGAGAGTCTTTTCGATGGTGACAAAGAAAAGCGCTTTCCAAGGTGGCTAAGAGTCTGGCTTCTTGTAGCTTAGGATAATAACCAGGTAAGCTAGATAGCTAGATAGCAAGCAATCTCTTAATAAAAAGTATTCACACAAAAAAAAAAAAAAAAAAAAAGCTTTAAAATGCAGTCTCCGAAAATTGAAAATTTAGTAGAGGCGGCATTGCTTAGATGATAGGAGGGTGAACTTATTAATGTACTGCCCCGAAAATGAGGGGTTCTGGTGCCTATTGTTATGTTATGAACAACTGGCTTTGGAAGAGAGGCTTCAATATATATATATATATATATTGAGAAGCACTTCCTTGGACTCTTCACCATGGAAGCACTTCTATTGTCTCCTGCACAAGTATAAATGAGGAGCACCCATGGAGCAATACTCAAAGTAAGCACTATCTTGCTGTGTGAACCAGCAACCTGCACTAGGCGGGATGGTGGGTACTCCTTGGTGACACACAGCTCCAATCCTCATGTCAGTCATCATCAAAATGTTTGCACCTCATTTACCACCAAACCTTAAAGTGTTTACATTGTCCAACAGACACCATTTTGCTATTCTTGCATTCTTGTTTATTTGCTGAATATCCATGCATGATTTCTTGGGTAGGTCATTCTTTATATGAGACATCCTTTTACTCTTTGACGCCTAATACATGTATGTGTGTATGTGTTTATTGTGTATAAAGACTCTCTCTGTTCTTTGTCTAAACAGGCACTAATGCAACAGCAGCGAGCACAACTGCGGTGATCGCATACATGACGGAAGCCGATGATGGTGAAGACAAGGCTGAGAGGCCAGAGCCATTAGAGCTTCCCTCTGCGCTTGTCCCACCATTTTCAAACTTGGTGTTGTTGCAGTAGACCGAATATGCCGCTTGAAGACTTGTCTGGACGGCCTCAATATTGCCGGGTGGACACAGAGCATCACATTTCGCGAGGAAGGAGACATCCTTGCCAAGGTTGCAAAAGCACTGCTGCTCTTTATTGGAAAGTTCATTGAAGGATGCTTGCTTCGAGGTATCGATCCCATTACAGCCTGGAACTGCGTGTGCCATATCATCCACGCACCCTTGGCACATGTTAGAGGCAGCATGGACCATGGAAGAGCCAACGAGCAGGACCAGGACCAAGGCTAAAAGTGTGATATAGGACTTTGAATGCATCTTGTATTCTTGTATTCTTGTATTGCTTTTCTGAAGAACGTGTAGCTGTATGAGTGTTTGTGAGAGTCTTAGCGAGGATGAGAAAGAGAGAGGATGAAAAGCAAGGTTGTTATAGGGGCGAAGAGCGCCTGCTTTTATATGTATACATATATATTTGAGTGTTCTAAATGTCCTTAAATGAAACAGAAACCTGTTTCCAGAACAGAGGAGCCCATTCACATTGCTTTTCACAGAAGTGTATTTACATGTACGAATATATATATATAATCAAAGTTTCTTAATTGCATGCATCCAACGCTCAAGTCGGAAAAAGCTTGCGCACAAATGTGGTCCGATTGGGTCCTCATATAGACATTTATAATTTGGCTCATTCTTTAAAATGGTTTCGACTTTGTCACTTTGTCAAACCTTGTTTTCTGCCAATAGGAACAATGGCTACATACTATTTCAACCAGCGATGGGAGAAATGAGAACATTTTTTTTCACAAGACAAATGGGCTCCCTTTAAACTCCAAAAGGTTTCCCCTTTAAACTCCAAAGGTCTCCAGGGCGTTACAATCTGGAGGCACAGTTGACAGACAATTGGGATCCATTTATGAACATGCTAATATGCTCATGACAAAATAAAGCATAAGGGCCTAAAAAGAACGTTTGAAAGTAGACACAGAGCAAAAAAGGTTAAAAAAAACGAGGTCCCGCCAAGAGCCCTGATTTATGATTTCTTGCGCCTGCAATTAGACACTGCGCCTGCAAACAGAACATCCCACCCCACCTCTGCAAACTTTTCTATAAAAAGGTCCCATACAACTAGTTCTTGTCCAAATCACAACAGCCATTCCTACAAGTCAAGCAAGCTAGCCAGTCCTCCACACACATACACATACACATACACCCAACACCCAAGACTCAATACACACTCACACAGTCATGTCAGCCATCAAGACCCTCTTGTTGATCTCCGCCCTCGGTGTCGGTGCCATCCAAGCCATTTGCACGCTTCACATCCAGCTGTACCAGCCCACTGTCAACGATATTTGCGTATTTGACTTTCCAGACTGTGCCAACTTTACTTCAGAGAATGCCTCATCATTTGGACTTGATGTTGCCTTTGACTACCCGACTGACACCCCTATTCACCGCCAAAAGACAACGTCACAAGAGGCACAACTGTTCAAAGCAGTGTATGGCAAGCAGCTTTTGGGGTGCTATGACTATGGTACTGCTACAACGACCTACATCAGACAATAGAACCTACTGATGGGTTAAAAAAAGAAAAGAAAAGAAAAGAAAAAAGAAAAAGAACCTGTAATAATAAATAAACTCTTGCTGCTCTCAAGATAAAATGATCCATTTGAATTCCAGCTGTAGAAGCCAAGTTCTTTCTATTAGGCCTCGGACAAAACCCTGAATGGGAAAAGTGGGCCAACTCGCAATTTTAGAGAAGAGAGAGAGAGCCTTCTATTTTGATCTTGTTATTATATAATTGAATATCTTTTTTTTTTTTTTTTTTTTTTTTTTTTTTTTTTTCGAATGTGGGCATGTGTTCCTTCTCCATACGCTTGTGTGCTTTTCTACACTAGTGTTTGTGTACGACTTAATACTTTTCTTAAGATTAACTTTATGAAAGGTCTACGCCCATATAGAGAAGTTGCAAAACCAGCTACCATTGATTCGCATTATGCTATATGGTATGCGGGCTTGATGCTACCCTGTTTAATTTAGTCGTCGGCAGAATCATTGCTCCAAGTCATCAGTGAGTTAAACGTTTGTATGTCCAACTAATAAGAAGCATGTAAGCCAGCCAAGGAATGACTTATTTTTATTCTTAATGAAAAAAGAAAAAAAAAGTAAAAACAAGGCATGTTATGTACAGCCTGCAATACAGTCCCTGCGAAAGGTCCCATCTCTTGTTAGGAGTGACGAGAGAGAATAGGTGAGGAGTATAAAGAAGACGGTTTTCTTTACTAGCATGAGTAAATAGTTCGAGGGCAATATAGCTCGCGCCTGCTTAATTGCGGATACCAGTATTTTTATATTTTATCATTTCTACAATTTACCTTTACTACTGTATATTATACATGCGCTTTGACTAAAACATGGGTGTGCAGATTTTAGTATTTCAGGGCAAATAGAGTATACTAGTGCTGATACAAGGGTTAGGTACTGCATTCAACCTGAGTCTTTCTTCAAGAAGGAGGTGATACCAAATTTTAGACTGTACAATTCTCATGTAAATTGAAAATTGTCCTCTTTGCAAAGACGACAATTAAATACTTAACTTCTTTTTACATGGGATTTGTGCGGGCCAAATTATAAGCGCCATGAAAACAAGAATTATAACTTTCCATGTAACGCGTATTTTTATTTATATCTCCAGTCAATGGTCATGTATCTCCGTTACCCGATCGTAATAAAATGTTTCACTTGCCTCTACTCCTCTGTATATCTTCCAACTTTTACTTCTCCTTTCCCCATCTCTTGTACCCAGCTCATAGACAAACAAAGCACCAAGTGCCTATCTCTTTTTATCTTCTACCTCTTTCCTGACTTCTTCTTAACTAGGGTCATTGGACGAATCTCCATACTGATCTAAAGATGGTTGTCATTTGAAACATTTTTTTTTAATCGATTGATTGCATGCTCTCTAAAAGCAACAGTGCCAGGGTTTTTAAAGCTGTTGACCATCATGAATATCCCACTAATGCACGTTGCCTCTGCAGCAACTGTGCCAGTTTCCTGGGATCAGTGTCAACAAGGCCAATTAAATACCAAAGATGCGAGGCGTATTTTGATCGTCACGCGGTCGATACCCGAAAACAATGGGTATATGGGCAACGACACTCATGGTCGCAAAGGCCCTTGACATCATTCCAGAACGAAACCAGCTCTGCTTCATTCATGGCCTCCTAGGAGGTTTTTTAATTCTAAACGGGATAGAAATGTTATCACGAAAACCTGCTATCAGATATGTATAGACAGGTTTAACAGAAAGTGGGCAAGAGGAAGGTGGTTTCATTCTGAGAATACGTCATCAATGCACTTTCAGGAAACAAGTCTCAATTAAGGACGTTTGCGAATAATCCGTTTCCAAATTTGCATATCTCAATATTGACCGTTTTTTCTAGACGTACAAACCAGAAATAATATTAATAGAGAGCTTACATAAGCAGCGGCTCGGCAATGGAAGCTGATGCGGCTTGAATATTAACTTGAACCTGGGGATGCTACCTGCGGCAGTAAGATGGATATGCAATGTCACATTAGGAAGCATGAGTTGCATAGCTCAGAGTTCGATGTTTCTTCGGCAGCAACATCTCAATTAAAGATACAATACAGAAAGAATTAAGGACTAATCGACTAATGACGCTGTATCTACAGTACATGGAAATGTTGGAATCATATTGGAGAGCCTAAAGATTCTCGGACGATGAGCCTGGTATACATCTGCTAGTAATGTGGGGACACCTTACGAGTAAGGATATGGATGACTGGTGTTAAGACGTCGTTGTTGTTAGCCCTTAAGGAAATGCTTTTGAGCGTACTATGCCACGACTCGACGTAGATGCTGACGCTGAATCAGGGATAGGATCTACTTTGACTATTTCTACCGAAACCTGTCTGCAACAGAACCAAAGTAATACTTGTTCAAGTGCTTTGCAACTCAATCTGCCGATTAAATTATCTTCTGTTTCCTTTTTTCTTTGAGCACGGCAAAATCCCGCTCCCACGCTTGTGACACATGTCGGGTACAGTAAAATACGTTCGGACAACATTGATGTGCTGCTGGCGAAGAATGCTGCTCCTTTCTTTTTTTTTACCTTACCAGAATATATATACAATCCTTTCTCTCGTATATTTGGCGCTTGTAGCGGAATCATATGACTTCTTAGATTTGCTTTGCCCTTTCTGGCTTGATCGTACAGTATCCGTGTAAGCACATTACTCGCATTGGGAATGAGATCAACGTTGAATATTCTTTGGTGCTGTTTGCTCCATTGATCGAAATACATGGTTTTAATAAGAGTCAGTATCCAGTCTTTCTTGTCGTAGGGAGAAACTTTGTCTTCTAGAATATTGACGACCTGAGGTGTGTCAAGATAAGTGAGTCAAAGAACAGAGATTCTGGCACGGTATTACTAATGCTTCTCTGAAGAATTTCTTCGAGTTCGTATTGCTTTTCCTTTCCCAAGTCAGCATCATCAATAATGAACATGGCATCGTCATTGCTGATATCTGAAGCGTTGGTGGTTATTACCTCCACGACACCTTCTACCTCTCGGCTCGTTTATGGCTGTCGGAGCCAAAGGTGAGTTACATCTGCTGCACTCAGCTTATTGTCTACCTTAATGGGAATAGGATTACATGTAGGTTATCCACAGAGAGCAGTCAGTGCTTACTTGACACTAAACGAGGAGCGGGAGAGCGGGAGTAATCTGCTCATCTACTTCTGGATATGGAGGATCTAGAATATCAATTGGTTACTCAAAAGGCCACAAAAATCAGTCTTTTCACTGGTCCAACTGTCCAATCGTCCGATCGACGTGAAAGTTTTTTTTTTACGCATTTCCTTTTTTTTTTTTTTTTTTTTGTTTGAGGTTTCTCTGGACAGATGAGAAAGATGAAGACAGATGAGAAATGAAATTCAGAAATATTGATTGATTATTCAATGCTGTTCAGATGCCAACTTTTTGGCATGCCATAGAGCCATTCTCATTGGTAGTGAGATGTTATTTAGCATTCAAAAAAAAAAAAAAAAAAAAAAAAAAAAAATCGCTCCTAATACATTATACATTTCAACAAATAAACACAGCACTCTACTTCGCCATCCAGAGAAACCAAACCTTTGGCGAAGTATTTTTTTTCTTTTGTCCAATGGTCACAAAAGAAACCCCGAGTTACAAGGGAGGCGAAGAAAAAAAATGGGTCAGTGCCTGGTGCAAAAAAATAAAAAAAAAAAAAAAAAAAAAAAAATTACCCCGAGGAACAGACAGCCCTCGACATCGCCACTTCTATCTTTTTTTTCTTTTTCTCTTTTCTCTCTCTCTCTTTTGCACACACAGCTCATCTCCTCCTCTCTTATTGTGTCCATCCGTCTCTATCTTTCTTTTGATTGAACTTCATTCATTCTTTTGTATATTCCTGATTGTCTACTGTAAGTTGTCTCTTCTCATAAGCTGTCTGCAGTTATTGTACTGTTTCAATACTAATATTGTCTTTCTCTTTCTTCCTTCATATTTGCAACATCAATAAAATAAAAAGGACGTTAATCCTCTAGTATTAAAGGATAAATAACTTGAAATGGGTCGGTTAGAAGCCTTAGTCACCCGTGGGTCTTTAACTCCACGAGTGGCATTTCAAATCGCTATCGCCTACTTGGAAATTGCTCAAAAGACCACGAATGAAGCGGTGGCGTTGGAGCAATGCATCGATGCCAACATCGCCCTATCCCGTATCCGTGGCTATGAACGCAAAAATCTTCTCGAGGCCACAGCTACAGATGATAAGATCCTGCGTATGAACGTCGCGTCCGCTTGGTTCCAACTTTCGCAGCAGTTTGAAAGGTTGAAACGTCCAGAAGAGAGTCAGAACAGCGCTAGGCAGGCTCAGAAGTGGAACCATAGCCAGCTACAAAATGTCCCACCACTGCCCCCAGCAGGCAACAACAGTATTGACACCAAAGCACTCATCAATAACACATCCATGAGTCCCGGTGCTATCAATCCTAATTTCAAAGAGCTCAAGTACTCCTCTACCGATGTCGCAACTATCTCGGATGAAATCTTTAAAACTGATATAATCCAACCCATCAAACAATACCAGCTGCCAGAGCCTGATGCGCGACTCACCGATATTCGCCAACTTAGGTTCTGTCTCAGTCTGCTACCGACCGCTCCTATGAAGATTGATGTCCCTTCAGACGAAGTACGAAAGTGGTGTAGTGAGGTAGCAAAGGATGCTGACGAACTAGAGCGGTTAAAGAAGCTAGCGGAGGGTGTGATTGGCGCGTTTAAAGATCGTGCTGTAAAGTCCGAAGCTGCTGTTAGCGAGATTGTCTGCCTGGCGCCAGTCCTTGAGAAAGACCTGCTTAGAACGATTCTTATGTTCCTTGCCAATGGTATCAATGAAAACATCTTGCTCGAAACACATCTACTCCAAGGTCTGGCCGAGGTGATGCAGCACGGTTCTCCTGAATACATTGATTCGGATGACTTCGTTGTGATTTTAAATCTCCTCAGCGATCGCATTCAAAATACTCACGTACAATCGGGCGATCATCTTTATCGTTTGGCTGCGGTAATTGCATGTGTTCTCGATGCCATGGTCAACAATCAAATCGCAGGATTGAGGCGTGTAGAACTTCATGAGCCACTAATGAACTTCCTAAAGGAATTGGAGGGAAGTTCGGATCCTCATCTAGTGTATTATGGAGCTTATGCTGCCCAGGCCTTACTATATATCCCTGACGATGAAACAACCATGCAAGCACTTCTCCGACGTACATCAGCAGTCCTGCGTGGTGTGTTTGGCGTTGTGGCTGCTGTCAAGGGACTTAATGTCAATGCAATCATAGAGGAGCTGGATAACGTTCAGAAAGAGCTTCCGTTGAAAGCTATAGCAGATGCGGGCGTAAATATGTACAAAGGAGTGACGTCGCTACTAGACAGTGGAGCAACATTCAAGGAATCCCTAAGTGAGGGTCTGAGCTTTACTCGTAAGACTGCATGGTATCCAGCACTGCGCATGGCGGATGCTCTACTCCAGACAGGCGAGTTCAGCAAGTTTAAGGCCCTTGTGTGTGGAGTAGTATGCAGACGAGTAACCGCTTTCCAGTGGGGAATATGTCAGCGATTGGGTCGGATTGCGGTCAATAAAGACTGGGGTCCCAGTACATGTCTGGATGCGCTTAAATTCCTTGGTGAGATTTACAAGAACGACAAGGACTGGGGTGCAGACCCTTCTATTAAACAATGGATCCTTACTATTCTTCATACTCTATCGGGCTCGAAGGAACAAGGAACTAATATGCCAAGTAAGTTTTGTTTTGTAGGTTTTGTAGGTTATTCACATCTACTTTATTCTCTCTATTTGCCAATTCTGAGCATGCCCTTCGGTTGTATTTGATACAATTTAGATGCTAGGTACATACTTCATGAACTCCGCGATGATGGAAACGAAGACAAAAAACAGCTGTACAAAAATACCTTAGCCAGCTTAGACCAAGAACCATGCAAGTACCCCATCATTATCACTTTAGCCGAGCCTGCTACTACTCACACTTTGCTCGATCGTGTCCAGAAGAAGCCTGATGTCGAAAAGGACCTGCGTCAACTTAAGCGACATCAACTAAAGAGTCGAGACGCCAAGGAATTTTATATTCCACTTCAAGCCAAGGAGCCACAAGCACGAGACACAGATCAATTTAGATTGTTTGATGAGGCATTGGAATTCCTGAAGAGTGATCGAAAGGTGTTCCTAGTCCTAGGTGATTCAGGTGCTGGCAAATCGACCTTCAATCACACACTCGAAAACTATTTATGGGACAATTATGAGAAAGAGAAAGGAAGAATCCCTCTCTATATCAACTTACCAAATATTGAAAGCCCTGAAAAGGATTTGGTTGCGAAACATCTACGAAAGACTGATTTCGATGAGCCACAGATCAAAGAACTCAAGAGGAGCCGCCAATTCATTCTCATCTGCGATGGATACGACGAAAGTAAACAGACAAGTAACCTGTATGTATCTAACCACTTCAATAAGCCTGGGGAATGGCAGGTACAGATGTTTATCACTTGCCGTACTGAATACCTTGGTTCAGACTATCGGGATCGTTTCCAACCTATGGAACGCAATAAGCAAACAGAAAAGTCCAAGTATCAGGAAGCAGTTATTCTTCCATTCTCCGAAGCCCAGATCAATGAGTATATTGCGCAATATGTGCGGAATAAGGATGCACAATGGAACTCGCATCAATATAAAAAAGCACTTGGGCATGTTCCTGGCCTTGCCGAGCTTGTGAAGAACCCATTCCTGCTCTCGCTGTCTCTGGACGTGCTTCCACGCATTATGGAGCCAGACCAAAACCTAGAAAACACAGTCATCAGGCGTGTGTCGCTGTACGACCAATTCATAGAGCTATGGCTGGAGCGAGGCAAGAAGCGATTAGAAGAAAGCATAAGTGAAGATGATAAGAGAATCTTTGAGATTTTGTCTGAGGAAGGGTTTGCACAGAATGGTATTCGATACCTAACCGAACTGGCAACTGCTATCTACAAGGAACAAGGAGGCGCTCCTGTTGTGGAATACTCTATTTTCCGGCATAAAGATTCATGGAAAGACGCTTTCTTCAGTCGAGACAACGGCAAACACCTACTCCGTGAGGCTTCTCCACTTACTCGCACTGGCAATATGCACAGGTTCATCCATCGCTCAATTCTGGAGTACAGTCTAGTTCGCTCGATCTTTGAGCCGCAAGATATTAAGGACATCACGATAGACGAAACCGGACAGGCAGTGGGACCGCCCTCACGTAGGGGAAGTGTCGGCTCGGCGTACAGTTTCGACATGGGAAGAAGGAACAAGACGCAAGAAGAGATCAATAGAGCAATCGCCCCAAATCCGGAATCGCCTCTGGTCTGGAGGAGCTTTGTAGATGACTCATCTATCCTACAGTTCTTGGAAGATAGAGCTCGGCTGGAACCCCTGTTCAGGGTACAGCTTCGCAACTACATCAACCTCTCAAAAGAAGACATCAAATGGCGAGTTGCAGCTGCTAACGCCATGACCGTCTTGGTGCGAGCGGGAGAAACATTCATTGGACAAGACTTGAGCCGCATTCAAATCCCATCGGCAGACCTAAGCTTTGGTATTTTCGAGTCAGCTAAACTGGAAGGGGCCGACCTGAGGAAGGTCAATATGCGTAGCTGTTGGCTTCGAGAGGCTGATTTGAGTGGCGCAAAGATGGCAGGTGTCCAATTTGGTGAATGGCCGCTACTGAAGGAAGGTGCTTGGGCTCAGTGGGGTGCCTACTCACCAAGTGGGGACACTTTGGCTGTTATAAACAAAAACAAGACTGTCAGTGTCTACTTCACAAAAACATGGGAGAAACTTGGCGTCTTGGAGGCCCGTGCAGATAATGATCCCAAGTTTGCATACTCACCTGATGGTCGACGCATAGCCTTTTGGGATGGCAGCCAAGATATCCCCGTGTATGCGGTGCCTGAGACAACTGAGACAGCTGAGGTGGGACTCATAAAGCTTATGTATACTTTACAAGGCCATACAGGAGCAATTACATGTGTTGCTTTCTCCCCAGATGAAAAGTACATCGTGTCTGCAAGTGAGGATCATACAGTGCGCATTTGGGATGCACAGACAGGTGGCCACCTGCATACTTTCGAAGAACACACCGATGCAGTTTTGGACTTGGCTTTCTCTCCAGTTGAAAATCTGCTTGCATCCGCCAGCAAAGATACAACAGTGCGTGTGTGGGATCTGACATCTAACGAGCTGAAGTTGACATTGCAAGGACATGACGATCAGATGAAGAAGGTCGCATTTTCCGCTGAGGGGCAGGTTATAGTAACCCTTCGAAGCGAAGGCACTTTGATCGTATATAACGCTGAATCTGGTGAAAAAAAATGGACCTGGAACCGTAATAATTGCGCTGAAAACATCGCTCACACTCCCGGTGCTGACAGCACCATTTGTCTCCCTGATACTGAAACCGAAACTATCATTTGCTCTCCCAATGGCCGGTACATTGCTGCATACACCCTTAAAGCAGTGTCTCTGTTTGATTCAGAGAAAGGGACAGTCCTTCAAACGATCACGGGACATTCTAACCTGATCTGCGGCATCGCGTTTTCGCCCAATAGCGAACAGATTGCGACTTGTGGTTATGACAATACAGTGCAGCTATGGGCCACCATATCAGGTCAATGCATCAATACCTTCCATGGTCATACTGGGCCAGTCAACCATGTAGCATATTCGCCAAGTGGCCATCAGGTCGCATCTTTCAGTCAGGATGAAACCGTGCGTCTGTGGGATACACAGCTATTGCATTCGACCCGATCATCCATTGGTCATACCAAGCCGGTCCGACGAGTGATTTCCTCTCCTGATGGACGACAAGTTGCATCTGGTAGTGAAGATGGAACTGTTTGTCTTTGGGATACACAAAAAGGACAGCCTATCCACACATTCGCAAGCCAGGGAAGCCAAGGATGCAGCACGGTCGATATCAAGTATTCCGATGATGGTAGTCAAATCATTGTGAATGACCAGTACAAGACCTTGCGTATTTATAATACTGAAACTGGCGAAAATATTTACAAATTGGAACGGCAAGAAACAACTGACGATCTCTTCCAATACGCGGCATATTCGCCTGATGGGAAACAGATCGCCACTGGTCATTTCAATGGGGATGTATGTCTGTGGAATGCAGAGGATGGAAAATTATTGTATTCGCTAGAAAGCCAAGGCGAAGGCAAGGCCATCAAGTGGATTGTATTCTCTCCAGATGGAAAACGGATTGCATCGTGTAGCTCTGACGGCAAAGCCACGTTCTGGGATATTGAGTCAAGAGCAGCCCTCCACACTATGGAATCACTTGCCAATGAACTGGTCTTTTCGCCGGATGGTCAACACATTGCTGCTATTAGCTTCAAAGACAATACATTCTACTGGGAGATAGTGAAGGCAGAGACAGGAGAGCTTAAGTATACCATCCCAGTTGAAGCACAGCAATTCTCTTTGAAATTCTCACCATCGGGTAAACAAGTGGCCGCAGGAAGTGCAGATGGATCAGTAAATTTGATGGATGTAGAAACAGGTAAACTGCTGCATCCGTCCAAGGGCCATACACAGTCCGTTCTTGACCTTGCATACTCGCCTGATGGTCACTTCATTGCTACCAGCAGTGCGGACGACACTGTACGTTTGTGGGATCCAGAGACAGGAGACTGTCTTGCCAAGATTCCACATGCCGATGGGGATGTATATAGTCTTACATGGAGCACATTTGAAGAAGAAGGAGGAAGGAAGGCTTTGTTCCTGACGACAGGTAATCGTAGTTCAGTTGTTCAAACGTGGCTAATTGAGACTGAGCCGACGAAGAAGTGCCGTTACCGTCTTAAATGGATTTCGCACCAGACTGTCCTTAATGCAGAGCAAACATCGATTCAAGGAGCGATCGGATTAAGTGAAGCTAACAGGAGGCTGTTAATTGAGCGTGGAGCGGTGGGTGAACCCGCGCCTCTGTTGACAATCCAGGGAGCCGCAAAGACGACCGCTATGTTATCCAAGATAAAGTCGTTCGCTTCAACATTCAAGAAACAAACACCACCATCGTCGTCAGCAAAGGCGGCACCAGAAAAGACGGCCAGTAGCAGTCGTAGTAATGGTCGTCATGGTAGTCGTAATGATGGCCATAAAGCGGCTCATAAGGATGGGCCTAAAGTTGGTGGTGGCGATGTAGTTGATGTACAAGAAGGATCCTTGGAAGGCACAGATGAGTCAACTAGTGGATATCAGTTCACGTACAGTGTTTGCGAGACATGCAAAGTTGCACATGTCATTCGATGCAGCCCACGCAGAGAAAGTCAAGAATTGGAAGAATAAGAAAGATGTTGTCAAATGGGAGTAAATAATATAAATTCACCATTGTCCATATAATCTTCGTTCTTATTCTTTATTTTTTAAACAAATTGGCCATAATTACGAGGAATTGTATATTCTACTTTTATTATGCCTTTGGGTTTTATTATTATTAAATCTTCACAGCTTCTTACTAAGCTACATTGTTCAAGAATTTTAAACACTCGGATGGTGTATAAACTTTAATACATTTGAATGGTTGCTTTTAATGTTAAAAAATCTAATAAAACTATTGCATAAAAGAAAGGAGGCCCCCATTCACCGCTTTTGTTTTTTTTTAATAAAATGACACCCTTTTTCTTCCATCCCCTGTCCCTCGTTACTGCCTCTATTTTACCAACGTCTTTTAAATCTTTAACTTTTTCTCTAGATAGCGGACTGATTTCCTATCGATGATGACCGTTTGATACTTCAGCAACCTCAAGACATCTGTCTCCTGCATGACCGTGACATCCACTTGCTGTAAGTTGTTCGTTGCACGCCACAAATTCTCATTCTCTTGATGAGCCACAACAAGGATTGAATCCCAGCCATGTTGTCTTTGAATCTTCTCGAATTCCCGAGCCTTATGAGAATCTAAAACAATATCATCCACAATCACCAACTGATCCTGTGCATATTTGGTCGACAACGCAATACGCAGACCCATCTCCTGAACCTTACGAGGCAATTCACTTGAATGATCTCTAGGCTTTGGTCCAAATGCAATTCCACCTATTCAAATAGATATAATATATGTGAGTTATCGGTTTAAAAGCCTCTCGAAAATAAGCAAAATAAAAGCAAAGCGCTTCTTTTTTTTTTTTTTTTTTTTTTTTTTTTTTTACCTCCGCGACGTTGAGGCGCACGTAAAGATCCCACACGAGCAGCGCCACGTCCTTTCTGCGGTGCAGCCTTGCGAGTTGTTCCACTGACTTCGCTTCTTCCTTTGGTCGAATGTGTTCCCTGACGCTCCGCATCTCTTTGCCAGACAACTACTCTGTGCAAGATATCCTTCCTCAAAGGAGCTCCAAAGACTTGGCGTTTCAAGTTGATCATATCCTTGGGTTCATTTGTTCTGAAATCCCGGAGCCATGCTTGCAAAGGTGTATAGAATGAGTTGTCAGAGTTTTGTGTAGCTGTTGGTCCCTCTTGCTCATTCTGCTGGGAAGGGACTTGTCCTACTGGTGTAGTATGTGATGTTGTCGTTTCAATTGCCTCAGCGCGGGTAGATGTGAATGTAGAAAACCTAGAAGCAGCTGGGAGAAAAGAAAGAAGGAAAAAAAAAAAAAAGAAAAAAATCCCCATCAGTATCCAAGGCTTTATCTATTTTTTTTTTTTCTTCTAATTATAATAACACAAGCAGAGAATGCATTTGCTCCTTGTTTGTTGTCCAGATACTCACCAATTGCCTTCAAACCCAACTGTGCCATTCATTATTAAGATGATTATTGGGTAATTGGATAGGTCATGATGAAGGAAAGAAAGAAAAAACAAGAGAGATAGAAAAGAAGGTTAATTTCCTAAGCAATTTCAATCGTTCCTGACGCCTACTGATAACGCCTGATAGTATTGGATATGGCAAGGCTGAGAGACGCGAGTCAAACTTATTTATTTTTTAAGAACACACAGCAATTTGATGCTAATTGCAAACTGAGCAGCATTCTTTCAGCATAAATGCAGCCATTGTTGTAGGACGCCTTTTTTTTTTTTTTTTTTTTTTCTTTTCCCTTTGTCTCCGTGTGATTGTCCCGATGAACTAAGAGTAAAATTGAAGTTTCATTCAATTACCGAGCGTTGAACAAAGAGTCCAGGACGAACAAGGCTGACCAATGATGCCATAGTAAAAATTAAATTTAAAACTGGTCCTGAAGATGAAAAATTATAAGGATTCCTGCTGCTCTGTGCTCGCGGAAAGGAAGAAGACGAGAAGATAGGATGTGAAGACGAATGAAACAAGTCAGTCTGAATAGGCCACTTGCTATTCCTATGGAATGGACGACAAGTACTCGCGAAGAGATCAGTTTATTTGGTTAGTGGCTTTTGTCTGTTGACTCGGGAAGCAATAAACTGTGATAATTGTGACTGCTGGAGAACTAATTTTGACGAACTGTACAAAAATATTATGTAGCCCGTTTCATTTGGTCATGATACCTTATATTTTTTGAATACTTTCGAGTGTATTGGCAGCCAATTGGCTCGCTTGTTGCGAGTATTGTTGCAAGTCCGTCACGTAGTGAAATGCCACCAGAACAATTCAATCATCGTTTTTAGATTAAAAATATAAGGTATCATGACCAAATGAAATTGGCGATATGAACAATTGCTTGGATAATTCTAATTCCTCTAGATAAAATATGTAACAATCTTCTTCCACATGGAACGAGAAGACTTCATATCTTCTTTGTCAGATTCTGAAGGAATAAATCGGCCTGTATCCAGATCTGCATCCTCAGCTCTGACCAGCTTGGTCTTCCTCACAAACTTGTACGAGAAGAACAGGATTGGAGAGACTACCCAAGGGAACCAAGCCCCCAAAAGCCCCTTGGCATAAGTTTCCCGAGCAGAATGATATTCCTTCATCTGTTCTGCACTAGCGCCTGCGCCTGGGTGGTGTGGTGCACTTGTCACCGACAAATAACAGTTTGCAATAACACAGCAGCAACCTATCACCGTTCCCAGAATATTACCGTAAGGGTAACCCCAAGAGACATAGGGCAAATCCTTGACTGCTCGACTCTGTTTCTTCCAGCAATACCGAAATCGAAAATGGAGAAACAAAATAAAGACCCAGATTTGGAAGATGAGGGATCCATTAATGGCTACGAACCATTGAAAGACCACTCCGGAACCGACAAAGATGGTAGTTAGAGACAAACATGAACAGGCCGTGACAACAGCTACAGCCAAAAGAGGAACGCCACGTGAATTCGTGTAGCCGATTATCTTATGGGCCCAACCGTTACGAGAAAGAGACAACAACATCCTCGTAGCCACATAAAAGTCCGAGTTGATGGCTGAGAATACGGATGTGAAGACCACAGCATTCATGTAATTGGCTGCGGCATTGATACCAGCCTTGGCAAACACGATTGTGAACGGAGCCTTGGCAGCAGATGAATTGGAATTAAGAAGTGAAGGATCGTCGTTACGAATAATGGACCCGAGCAAGAAAATGGAAACGATATAAAAGAATGCAATACGGATCAACACAGTGTTAACAGCCTTCGGGACATGCTTGTGGGGGTTACGAGACTCTGCGGCTGTGACACCAGTCATTTCAGTACCTCCGTAGGCAAAGCCGACAGAGACTAAAGCCGTGATGAAGCCCATGAACCCTCCTTTGAAGGGTGCTCCCTCAATGTGCCAAGCATCCATTCCATACTTGACGTTACCAAGAACACCAGCATCAACCAAGATGCCACAGATGATGAACATGATGATTGTAATAACTTTGAGGATCGAGAACCAGTACTCGAGTTCGCCGTAAGCTCTCACGCCCGCTAGGTTAATCAACACCATGACAATGATGATGATTAAGGGAACGATCCAAGTTGGAAACGTGGAGCCCTGAGGCAACCAGAAACCGACAATAATAGCCGAGGCTGAAAGCTCTGCAGGAATAGTCAAGGCCCAGTAGATGAAGTACATCCAAGTCATCTGGAATGATGAGGCTTCATCAAAGACACGCCCGCCCCAGGCGTTGAAGGCGCCAGGAAGTGGAAGCAGCGTTGCAATTTCACCGATAGCTTGACATACAAACACGAGCCAGAAGCCAATAGTCGCATATGCCAGTACTTAGAAAAGAAAAGAAAAGAAAAAAAAAGTTTGGAAGAGAAATAAGTTTATGTATTCTTAGTGCCAGAGATGGAGGGGAAAAAAAAAAAAAAAAAAAAAAAAAAAAAACTTACAAGCGCCTCCTGGGCCAGCTGTTGCGATGGTTGTGCCAGATGTCAAGAAGAGACCGGTACCAATGGTAGCGGAGACAGCAATCATGACCATATGGCGTAGTCGGAGACCGCGTTTGAGCCCCTCCTGCTCAGCAGCCAAAACCTCATGGTGATCAACATTTTGCATATGATCGACTTCATATTTCTCTGTTGCATCAGCAACGCTTTCTTCTTGCTTTGACATGATGCGTTGTTTAAGAAATCCGCGATTTATATCTTTTACGAGAGGAAATGACGCATGAGGTTCAGTACAGAGCAAGGTAAAAAAAAAAAAAAAAGAAAGAAAGAAAGAAAAACAAATAAAGTTGAAGGATAAGACGAAATAGATGTATATGTTGAAGTTTTTTTTACTACTTTTCGTTTCAAGACATGTGCGGATTGCATGATAGGAATGTGTTGGATTTTGGGCTATACTTGATGCGAGATTTTGAATGTGATCTAATGTGACCTGATGGGCTGTGTTTAGTCGTTCTCATCCTTACTGTAAATTTATAATACGTTTGAAATAAGCACTGGCTATGTCTGTGTGAGTGGACGTTCAGACTCACATTGACGACCTCAAAAAAAAAAAAAAAAAAAAAAAAAAGACCGCAAATTGCGCCTAATGACAAGGAAAGACAAGTTCAAAGAGGGATAACGACTCTAAGCCTTCTCGATCAAATTCTTTGGGTACTCGTGTTTGTATGTATCTGTACCGGGATAGATTGGACATGCTTACCAGCAGACATTTTTAACGCCTTGATTATAGAAGACAAGGGTATAGAGGAATAAAGATTACAAGAATGACCAATAATGATGCCCTCAAAAGCTAAGAAGGAATTCCTATAAAGGCGACCAATCATACCCCTATATGAGTCTATGAAATAAACGCAAATGGTAAGTCTTCTTTGTAATTTCGTGAAGTATGAGTACATGGACAGAGATGTGTAAAAAAAGCTCAAACAAGTCAAACGCTTCTCTAACGACTCTATCAGATTCATGCCCCTTTTTGTTCTCGAATTCATGCAATGTAACATGATTTTTTTCTGCAGATGCGTTACATGTAATACATTACTAACCAGACCTTAAACCAGATTAAGCTGGAGATTTTCCCGTTAAAAAGGAACGTTCTTACCCAATCGTCACAGTTTCCCAGGAGCGCTTTTGTCTATGACGTCTCTTGGATCTTGAAACCCAATCTTCTTTGCCCTCCCATTTAATCTCTTTGGCTTTGCCTCCTTTTTCGTTTTATATAAATATATATGTAATTATTTTTTCAAGGAGCTCTTTTCAACTTAAAAAACCGCCTTCTTATTTTAAATAGATCCTATTCCTCGAAGAAAATTGGAGCTGTTAGGCAATCATCTGCTATTGATGGTAAGCATAGATTTTCGATGAAACCCTGATTGACTTCATATCCCTTGCATTACCATATGACAAGGCTGTACGGAGGTTTTTTTTATTATTGTTAATTTGATTATTTCTACAAACTATCGGCTTACAGCAGATGATGATCGAATAAGAACAAAGGCAAGATAGTGTAATAGCGGAAGAAAGAAAGAAAGAAAGAAAGAAGGAGACCTATATCTCTCAGTCTGATTCATTTTCATCCACCTGAACAGGGCATGGAACGCTCAAAATTCGGTTTGTCTCGACTACGTAACCCGTCAGAGCCCTTCCATAGACACAGCCTGTGTCAATTCCAACAGTCCATGGCTTCACATTTAAGTTTCGACTGGCGTTATGTCCATAGACAATTAAACTGTCCGGTTTGCCATCAGTGTCTCGGGAGTTTTGCTCATCATTATACTGATCCACCCAAGCACGGCCCTTCTTGGCCTTGCGTAATGGTGTCCCGTCTTCACGGATGTTACGGATATTCACCAGAACCCAGGGTTCTTGCTTGTCTAGGCTATGGCGAGGATCAATCCCCGCGTGAACTACATGGATAGGAATCTTATTCAACGACAATTCTGGAGGCAACGACAGGATCAATGGGCAAGACAACAGATATTCATACTGTTTTTTGTTCATTGTCATCGCAAGTTTGTGATGCTCGGAGTTCAGAATCAAATCTGAGGGGTAATTTGGAAGATTTGGTATATCTCCTTCAGATTTACTTTTGGATTCCTCTTCCAATAGCTTTTTTTCTGAAGGACTGAGGCTGTCGAGATAGCCTCTCCATCGGATGACCTTGTCATCGTGATTACCACGGACACACTTTGCTTTTAATGCACGGGCCTTGTTGATCACCTCTAACGAATATGGGCCCTTGCTCACTATGTCTCCTACAAGGATTAATCTATCCTTGCCCCTCTTGAATTTAATATCTTTTAAAAAGCCATTGAAGCCAACAAGGCCTCCATGGATATCCCCGACAATGATAGTACGTCGACCTTTTTGTGGACGGAGTTCTTGAGATGAAACGACCTTTCTATAATTATATCGCGCATAAGGATCAGAGGGAAGCGATTCCGGCGGCGTATTAGGCTGCTTTGGTGAACGGAGACCAGCGGAATCTTGTTGGCTAGCTGGCAAATCAGCTAGAGTGACAGGGGAGGCCAAGGTTGTGGCCGAGGTGACAAGGAGCAAGGCAGTAAGGAGAGATTTTAAGTGCATGATTTGGTCTTGAAGAAGAAAAGAAGAGGATGGGAAGTAAATGGGAAAAGAAGAGGACCAGAAAGTATGAAAAGGAAAGAGGATGAAGGAGAGAGGATAAAGAAAGAACTAGAAAATGAGCAAGCAGAAGTATTTATATATTTGTTATTACGTGTTTTGGTCCTCCCATTTGGGGATCAATGCAGTTGTGTGATGTGTGATGTTCAAAGGATTTTGTACGAGCATTTACGAAATCCCTTCTTCACTTCTCATTACGCTAAAAAAAGCTTAGTACCATCTTGCTTTCGAACAATTTGGCAATTAAAGTTTATTACCGTGTTGTATGACAAAAGAAAAAAAAAAAGGGTTTCAAGAGCAATTGTCCTTAGTATTTTCCATTGACATCTTGTCAACTGTTTTCCCCAACGGGCCAAGTATATTTTATATCTGTTTTTTTTTTTTTTTTTTTTTTTTTTTTAAAAAAAATAAAAAAAACGTTGCAGAAAAGATATAACAAAAAGTTACTTTTTTCAAGGCAAATTAATATCAAAAGAGGTGAATATAAGCCTGCCTGTACTCTTTATAGCAACGATCAAGTTACATTTTGTGGTCCTAGAGAGAGGCAGTAGATACTTTTCATGGGGAAATGAGGTAAAATGAATATGATTCAGTAATTATCCTGCTCTGGCTACTGCAATTGAAAGATCGACAATCCAGACAGAAACTAGTCCTACCTGTTGGCCCAATACATCACATGCAGTTGGACCATAACTTCAAAGAAGATTCCAAAAATCGAACAAATCCTTTTTGCATATCTCACACCAGAATTATTGTATTGGCCTTGGTATTGGATATAAATCCTAACAATAACTGATTCAAGATCGAAGACAGCCCCAACAGCTTCATCCCTGCATATGGATTTTGAGGGCAGTTGCGATTAATTACAGGTGAAAGCTTCATTCAATGGTATATATCCAACTCTTTTTCGGTCAAACTGTGCTTCTAAACAATCTAAACTATATCTATATTCTAATAATCTATCTATATTCTAATTATCTATGTTCTAATTTACGAGTTCTTATTCTGCTCGATCTTGGCAGCAGCGGCACGCATTTTAGCACCCTTAAACTTGACAATATGGAACACAAGGGTACAAACAATATTGATGACGGCCATGATAATACCATAATTACCATATCCAATACTATCCACAATGAGCTGGGCAGTCAATGAAAAGATGCATGCAAAGATCATCCTTAAACAGCCGACCGCTGCTGTCGCAGAAGATCCTTGTCCTGGGATAGCATTGACTACGTAAGCGGAACCGGCGGACATGACCTGACCCATACCAAAGTTATAGATTGAAAAGCCAACAATAGGTACAGCGATGTGGAGATGATCTTGAGCACTCCATGCAAAGAGAAGAGCACCCAAAGGGACAATGATATAAGCAGCAATCCACATTGTAATTGACAATCGATCTTCCAGGATCGCCTCGCCTCCATTTCTACGCTGGCCACGTACCAAGGAGAGATCAGACAGTTTACCGCCCATCATAGCACCGATAACGCTTCCAACGCCGGCGCCGAGATAGGTTAGACCTGTTTCGAATTCGTTTAGCCCATAGCGACTCGTAAATAGCTCAGGAACAATGGTTTCGACTACAAAAAAAAAAAAAAAAAAAAAAAAAGACGGGCAGGGTAAGGGAAATGAAAAATTAGTAAGAGCCGAAAAAGAATGTAGTGTCTTTGTGTTCTTCAGAGAGTTGCATCGCTTACTGGAAAACATGAGGCCAAAGACCATTCCGAGCTCAATAGCAGAGAGGATGATGACAGGATGCCTTAATAAGAATACGGCTTTAAATGGATTAACAAATCCCTTTTTGGTTCGTGTCGGCAAGCCTTTAGTCTCAAGCGAGTCCAAATCTTCTGGCTCTACACGGTAAGTTTCAGGCAAGAAAAAGAACAGCTCCAAGATCACTACAACACTGACGATGGCCATGAAATAGAATGTAGATCGCCAACCGAATGCGTGTGCTAGGAGACCGCCAATCGGAGGCCCTAAGACCGGACCAAGGAATTGACCCAAGAAGAATAAGCCCATTGATGTTCCTTGCTCAGCTGGTGGCTTAAGAGAGACAAGTTGAAATTTCAAAGAAATGTAAGTAAGAGCATCATGGTCGTTGAGAACTATATAAAGAGAGTATAGATGGATTCAGTTGAGATTGCTTACATAAATATCGGTTATAGTCCCTGCTCCAAGAATGGTGGCTCCGCCAGAGCCTACCGCTTGAAAGATTCGAGCGAGAATAAGGGGAGCGGCTGAGTTGGAATATCCGCCACCAAAAGATGCAACCGTAAATACTACTGCATAAACAAGATAAAGAATACGGCGGATCTTGAATGTATCGGAGAGCGTTGAAGTAATAAGGGGAGCAACGCCCATGAAGAGGATGAATAAGGACACTGACGCATTGATGCTCGTCTGAGATGCATTCAGATCCTCAGAAATCTGAACCAGAGATGGAAACTAAATGGAAAAAAGATGTGGAAAAAGTTAGACTGCTTTGTAATGATTCAGAGAAACTACAGAATGAGCTGAATGAGCGAGACATTTTATCCGTCTTGTTTGGACAGTAATTCATATATTTTTGAGTGGTCTTGATTTCATTGGTGGTGAAATGTCAAAATCAGCCACTAGATCAAATTCACATTGATGAATAATTACTTGACCAGACGAAATGGAGAATTCATGAATAATTGAACAAGACATACATAAATAGTAGAGCTAAAACCAGCAAGTGAACCCGCCTGAGAAATAACAAAGAGAATAACTGCCTTTCTTCTACGGGAAAGTCCCTCTCGAGGATCACCTTTTATTTCAGGATAAAAAGGTGGTTGACTCCTCCAGAAGCTTTTCTCAGGGGCCACGCTTAAAGAAAGAGAGCAAGAGTCGTTCTGATCAACAGCAATCGTTGGCCCTGGTATCCCAGCAACCACAACTGCGCTCATGGTGTCATTGGAGCATGGCAAGGAATGCTCATGTTTGTCTTCAAGATCATGAATGGTGGTAACAGATGACTCTGCATCTTTCTCATTAAGCTTCATTGTGTGATCTTTATTGTGAAGAGAAGAAGTGTGATGAGAGGAAAGAGGAAAGGATGAGAATTTTTCCTTTTAAACTTATTAGAAATGGCTGCTCAGTACAAAAAATCCAAAAAAAGATACTAGCCATACATGTTCATGTACATTTAGTTTCATGGTGACTTTTAAGCCAGATACGAATGGCTCGTGCGCATCTGCGACGTTGATCAAGGGAAATGATTTTAACAAATCAGAACCATAATCCTGAATATATTGCGAAACTTGACAGAAATTCATCTGTGATATCCTCTTGACGTGGAGTACGGTTTGCAAACTTTTTCCTTGAACTGTAGTATCCCAATGTTTGTCACTATCTAACTAAGATAAGAAAAGTAAACGACTGAAGACGACTATTTATTTATTAAATCAAGTGGTCATAGAAAACTTAAAAGAATGATTTTAACCAATCTATGAATCCTCCGTCACTACTAATATCAGAATCATCGCCTATGTCACCGCCTACTTTTTGTTTTGGAGTGATCCTTAAGTTGGGCCACGTCCGCTTCATCCATTTCATCTCAGCAGCTTCAATCTTAGCTGCCATACGAGTAACATTCAGCTCCTGTAGATTCTTTATTCCTGCAAGCCTGTCCATCCCACTCTCTAACGACATCTCCAAACACCCACGTTGGACAGGGTAGTTTACATCTTCATAGTCTGTATATGGATCATAAGAAGCATATCCTAGCCATAATGTCTCCAAGTTTGAAAACCGCCCTAATCGTTCATACACTCTGTTCTGTATTATCCGCCCTTCACCGAAGTAGGCCTCTCCAACTACTGTTTCTTCATCCTGACTGCCTGATAGATCTGGCCTTGGGATGTGGGAGATGATGACCTTGAGGACCTTGAGCGAACTTTCACAAGCCCAAGGTTTGAGTCGCCCTGCTGCTGAATCCAAATCCATAAAGTCATTTGCATTTAAAGTGTAGGCCGCCGGTTGCCAACTGAAATTATCGTTGATCGTGGTCAAAACCTGAAGTTTTGGACATATTGATAGTATTGAAGCTAAATCCTTTGAGAAGTACTTGCAATCTGTAATATCTAACTCCGCTAAGTTGGAGCAGTGCCTTCCTAAATTTAACATGGATAACTTTCCAAAGTTGATATAGCTCTTTGTTCTCACTATTGTCCATCCTTGATGTTGACACGGATTCGCCAATAGTGAAGCCACTTCTTCATCCTCTAGACCTCGCATCATATTTCCGCCTTCTCCCAACTGCAACTGATGAACTTTAGGCATGTATCTCGACATTTTCTCCACTAAGGCCTCGATAATATCTTTATCGACGTCACCGACTCCGAGGTCCTCAACATGATAACAAGACTCCCATAATTGTGGCCAGAAAGACTTGGAGTTGGTAGTGTCGTGACATCTTCCTAAAATCAAGACCTTGAGTCCCTGCAGAAGAGGAAGAAACACTTCTCCATCTTTGGATGCATTATCCTGACTCCAGCTAGGCGGCTCATTCTGTGCGTCTTTGAGATCCAGCTGAATGGTTAGTGATCGAAGTCTTGTTGAAGAGCATTTAGACAAAAGATACTTGACCCTCCACACATCTGTAAGAGGCTTTTTGTTCCCACCATTCTCAATGATGAGCTCTTTCACATGGGGTGCAAAAGCTGCATAGGCCCTGAGAAGGTCATCCGAAGCAATATCAAAAGGAGTGACATAGAGGCGGTCATGTTTAATTGAAGGGCAATAGCTGAGAAAAAAGAGGACTAGTTCAGGGGCCGATGGTTTCTCGAGTGATCCGGCAGCGATTTTTAAGTCCTTGTTGTCATCATGAGCGAAAGGCAGCTCAAAAAATTTGAGAAGGTTATGGATGGAAGGGGTTTGGTGGATAAAATGACCATACTTTTCAAGGACTGAAGGCGGATTATTGGTTTGTGGACCTTGCGGCGATTGTTGTTGTTGAAGCTTTAGGTGATGATCCTGGTAATATGCCATCAAGACCATTTCGCTGAAGGCCTTCCTTTGAGTAAATTTTAATGAAGTTACATTATACCACAGATATGGGGTGGTTGCTCTGTGCCATATTCTATTGACTTGAGCACAGTGGGCAAGGTCATTTCGTTTTAATTGGGAGAAGATGAGTTCGTCAAGTTCAGGGATGTCAAACATAAATGGATGAGTGGGGGAAAAGGAGAGAAGAGGAATGAGATTTTTTAAGAGGTTGATGGAGATGTGTTTTTTAAAATGAGATGTTGAGGCGATGTTTGTTGTAGACATGACCTGTAGATTTTGAAATGCTGCGCCATGCTTAACTTGATGTGTAACCTTTTTTTACAACATTATGTTCATGGATAGGGCGCAATAGAGCGTTCCCTATCGTACCGCATCTACATCTTAAAGCCTCTCTGTTAATGCGCACTCTAAGTTTCCAAGTAAGCAATCATGAAGTATCTACTGAGTGGCGTACTGGGCAATGGAACCAATGTTCAGGTCTAATAGGAGACGAAATCGAGGGACTGACTTGTTTCCTCATTCTTGATGAAAAGTGAAGTACACTTTCTTTTTGTTATTAAGAAACTTTACAAGAAACATGAACTGGCAGCATCAAGTGATATGGTTTCAAGCCCACAGCTTAAGGATAGTTATTCTCGAAGTCACAAGAATTTTAAAGACTTGCACCGCCAAGGCAGACATTTGAGAGTTTTCGTAATTTTTTTTTCTTTTTTTTTTTTTTTTTTCGTCAAGGATCTTCATCGTGATAATGAATTCAATCCTTAGCTTGACGAAAATTTCGTCAAAGACGTCCCTGGACGTAAAAATCATCACGAATTTACATCGGGTTCATTTTTGCTTGTGAAAACTCCCTATTTAACATTCTCAATTTGCTCCGTCGGTGGATTTTCTCCTTAGCTTTGCATACTGGTACTTCAGTTATATATCGTGCCAGTCAAACTCACCAATGAAAATCACTGCCCGAGAGTATTGCCATCTGACGCCTCGGTCAATATACTTCAGCAGTAAAGCAGAAGGAGAGAAAAATGGACATTGTGATGATGAAAAAAGTTTCTATGCTAGACCAATAGATAGTCTCAGAGAGCCACCTTCTTATCTGTGCATCTTCTTACAAGGTAGGTGTCTTTTTTAGCCAATTACAATTCTTGAACTGGCTCTGGTATGTTGTATTTGATCTGATGCCCCATCCCTGCTTTATGATGTCTAACACATACATGTTTGCATATTATGCATGCCAATGACGCTCGCTTTGCTCTGGTACTGAGCCTGCTGGTTGCTTACGGTAAAGTTGGTGCACTTTTTAAGATATTTATGCATGCATCAGGACATCAGAACGTTGAAGAAGGTGGCAGGATTTTTAAATTTAAGGAGGAAAGGCTTATGTATGGCATAAGGAACCAAGATGTACGTGTGTGCGTACACCCGGAACAAAGATGGAGATGATAGATTGTAAAATGCCGAGGGAGAGAAAGATAGAGGGGAATAAGTGTCCGTGTGCATACTAGTCTTTGTCTATGCATTGACGAGAGCATGAACGTTTTTTTAAAAATAGGTTCCGGTTGCCATTAGTATTGTCCTCGTCATTTGGTCATGCACATATTCTAAAAACATATAATTATTGAATTGATTTGGTCGGCTCAGAATTTTGAATAATCTTAAATGAGTTGGTGGCCAAAATCAGCCACCGATTCAATACACAAATCCCATTCAATGTGACGCGCTTTTTCTGGGGCCAATTCAATCAATATATTTTTACAATATGTGCATGACCAAATGACGAGGACAATATATACAAAACCAAATCAAATTTCATTGGCTAGCCTATTTTGTTTAGGGACGACCCAGTCCTTTTCCATTCTACATACTAATGGAAGCTAGGTTGTGGATATAAAAAGGACCGCTTTTTCTTTCTTCTTTTCATCTTAACTTCCTGACTTTCTCTCATCATCCAGACCTTCACACTTACACAGTATTTGAAAAGTGAAAAAAATGTTGAATAAACGATCCGTCTTACTTCTACTCTTGGCCGTTCAGTCGGTTTTTGCCGAAGTCCCCATCAAGCCTGTGCCTAGCGAACGTTTATCCAGTCATAACTTCATTGAAAATCAATTGCCTATTGCCGAACAGACACACGAGGTCATCAATGTTCCTGACACCTCTTTTGTGCTTATCTCGCAAATGAGCAACAGCGTGCTGTTGAAAGCTCAAGTCGATACTCACGGTGCTATCCAGCAACTAGGCGCATTCGAAATGGAAAACAGCACTGCTGCCCTCCATGGACTGGCTCATTCCCAACGGTATCCTGGTAAAATCTGGCTTACACTCCAAAAAGCCAACAAGCTGGTGCTGATCGATCCCAAGACCGATTCAGCCCAAACGACACCCGAAGTTGTACAGGAGATTATGGTGCCTACCCCTGGCAATGGTCCCCATTACGTTGGTGAATATGGTGACGAGCTCTGGGTCACTCTCCAGGATAGCTCCGAGGTGCTCCGTATCAGCCATGTCAACACATCTGATTATACAATCTATACGGCCCAACCTCGTCCTATCTTTATCGCTCAACATCCTCTCAACAACATGTTCTATACTGGACAAGACAACTCTGCCTCCATTATGAAGATCGACCCTACAACTGGAGTTACAACCCAAATCGCAATCCCTGCAGACGCTGGTAAGACTCCCGTTGGAATGATCACTGGGCCCAATGGCATTTGGTTTACACTCCTTGGCGACGAGACTAGTGGCACCGGCACTATTGGTCACATTCATGCTGATGATACTGTCACCTATCACAAATTGACATCTCCTTTGGGAATCAACGCGGCCTTGTTGCATCTCGCCTTTGACCTTGATCATGCAAACACCCATGCCCTCTGGCTCCTGTCGTCCTCGATCATCAACACTAACGCTTTGGATACGATCATCAGGGTCTCTTTCGACGAACAATGGCAGACCATCAAAAATGAAGATGTCATGGCCATGCCAACTCAACAGTGCAAGGCTCATCGAGTCTTGATCACGCCCTCCAACGTGTTCGCCACTGAACTTACCTCATCTAAGCTTTTGTCCTTTTATACCACTAATTTGTAATATGATATAAAATAAAATAAAGATAATAAAAATAAAGTGTAGAGTACCTTGATCTTTTCTACAGTCTGAACTTCCGCGTAGCCTTTATTTATGTCAATGTGTCTCTTTGTCTATGAATCAATAACCGCCATTGACTAAACGCATAAATATTAAAATTAGACATTTGCCCTGTATGCTCCCTTCCTTTTTTTTTTTTTTTTTTTTTTTTCCTCTAACCATGTGAATACATTGTCCTTCTAGCTGATATATTCTTCCTGGAAATACATATTAGTATGTGTAAAATGTGTTTGGTGCTTTCTTAAAAAAATGATCGCAAGAGTCATGGTCAGTCCTATACACCTATGAAGGTAAATGTACATGCTATGTACATGTACATGTACATCTACGTGTTCAATGCAAGGGACGTTTGGACTACTGGACTGCTGCATCCCTGCATATCTTTGTTTTCACAAAAAAAAAAAAAACTTTAGATTGGAAAATTTGAGAGCATACTAAAGATGGAGTTACTTTCAAACACTATGATTTTCGTACTGAGGAAAAGTGTATATGCAATAGAGAGGCTATCGAAATCAATAGCTGAGGACAAGGGAAAGAAAACGCTTCTTCTTTGAGAGGGCGGAAAAAAGGGTTAGAAGGGAGTTATGATGACTGTTACCAAATGATCAAGCAAATATTCTATCGTTTATGACCAACCAGACAATGAACGTGCGTGTAAAAAAGGATTGGTGTATAAAAGGATATGTTTCACAACCATTTCCTAGTACAAAGGGGCCATAATACTATAGGCAAAAAGAGCCGTATCTAGCAATACATTACTTGGTACCTGGCTCCAATTAACAAGCAACTTTTTTTTTAACCATTGCATGCCATTTGTGTATAAAGGTGTTCAACTGTCATTAAAAACACATCCATTAACAAAGTATCTAATTTCCCACGAAAGAACCATCCGAAGCATTGACATTTATAGATATCAACCTTGTCATCCATACTCTTCTTAAGAAGAATCTATTGTCCGTATCCCGATTGTGAGGGCTACAAATTATTACTAATGAGCTATTCGTCACGTTATTAAGATCCTTAACTGCTGTAGTATTTTTTGAGAACACAATTTGCCCCTGAGTCCAACTGCTTTACTGCCCAGCTCGGTATCTCAGCTTGACAATATCATGATGTGGTTAATGGTGGTGAGGTGCCTTTAATGATTATTCAGGTTGGTAACAAGGAAGCTATCTATTTCTACTATTATGGTATATGACAGAAAAAAAACTTGTCATAAAATGCTGCTCATGGTCAGCAGTGCACCATCACGCCCGCAGTTTTATGGCACTCGCTACACACAAAACGTTGGCTGCCCTTGCTGTCTAACCCATTCATCCCTGTTATTGAAGTACTCTGCTTTTGAGTCAGCTCTGGTGGTAGAGCAATGGTCTTTAGTGATACCTCATGGTTGATCTTAGCCATGGGAGAAAGTGGTCTGAATTTGGGTTCCGTAGTCACCACTGCTTCAAGCCTTATGTTAGGCTCTGAGGTCTTCATAGGCTTACCAATAGCGCCACGTTGCTCCAAAAGCTTTCTATTAGATTCGCTTAGCCCAATCACTCTTTCCAAGCATGTCTTCTTCGCATTCAACAGAGTGTGTTTCGAGGTCCACTTCAACCGGTATCGGCACTTGCCCTCGTTCTTATGAATGCTCCACATCCAAACAGAGCCATTTTTGCATCCCATTGCCAGCAATAAGCCTTCCTCGGAAGTATTGAACCAAGCGAGAGAATGGACCTGCGAGATATATAAGCCACTATCCTGAATAGCAACTAAACGTTGGCCTGATTCTGCGTCCCAAACGCATACTGCCTTGTCCTCACCACCCCCAGAGGCAAAAAACTGGCCATCAGCCGAATAAGCCACAACCTTGACATCGCCTGAATGACTTCTGACTAGTTTCTTTGGCCTTATTCCAGCTTGTGCTTTTAGCGCTTCTGCTTCTTCCACTTCTACCATAGCTAAATCTCCGCGGTTATATGCACAGACAATTCGACGGCCACATGGTGAAACTGCCACAGCGGTAATGCTTCCTTGAACTTCCACCATCTGGCGTACTTGGCCGTCATTGGTGTCAAACAGATACAGACCGTCCATGCCTTTCTCACAAAGAGTGACGATTTGATGTCCATTAGGCAGGTACATAAGATGACGAGATCGATGTGATCCAAGCTCAATAGAATGAAGGGGGTCTTCCAATCTCTCTGTAGACCATACTGTGATCTTGCCACGGCTCGTCAACGAGGCTACTTGCCGACCGTCGGGTGAAAATGCGACAGAAGCCACTGAGGCACACTGGTTTTGTAATATGCGGAAGGGTTGTCCTGTTTTGCTTTCCCAGATACGAACATCTCCATTTTTGTAGCCAGATACGATGAAGTTGCCATTAGATGAGAAAGCCATATCACTGATACAGTGGCCTTGGGCATCTTTTCGACCTAGGATCTGGAGTTGGCTCGAATAAACGTCCCAAAGATGCAAAGCGTCGCTATTATCGCGAGAAGCAAGTAGATGACCAGTTTGTGAATACTTGACGTCAAGGACTCCACCTTGGTAGCCTTGCAATGTCTGCATAATATGCCCTGTTTGTGCATCCCAAAGGCGCACTGTGCCGTCATCGCTAGCAGAGGCCACCTGCATTCCATCAGGTGAGCTGGTAATGCTATTGATAAGACATGTATGGCCAGATGTAGCATGAACCGATGATGGCAACTGAGCATCCCATAGACGAACCGTCTTGTCGCGACTGAACGATGCAATCTGATGACCACTTGGTGAAAACACCACCTGATCGATTGTGCTTGTATGGCCATAAAAGGTGTTGATCAATTGTCCAGACTTAACGTCCCAGAGTCGAACTGTCTTATCCGAACTACATGTGGCAATTTGGCCACCATGGGGCTGGAATGCCGCGTCTAAGATATTATGAGCATGTCCTTCGAGGGTGTGGATGATGGCCTTTGTGCGTGCATCGCAAATGTATGCTTTTTCTCTCTCGCGCGCGACGAAGAGCTTTCGATCAAAAGAGAATTTGAAGCTATTCAGATAATCGTCCAACCTCATGGCTGTTTTCAATTCGCCTGATTGAGCGTCCCAAGCATGAAGAATAGAGCCGTGGCCATCGGAAATGATTTCGCGGCCGTCTGGAGAGTAAGCAATATGCTTTACACGGTTTTCGTTGCCCTCCAGCGACAACTGTGATGATCCCGATGATGAGTCCCAAAGCTTGATCGTTCCATCTTCACCGGCTGATGCAAGTTGTTTCCCATCAGGTGAGTATGCCAGGAAAACCACGTTCTGTATGTGGTCTTTCAAGTTGAATAAACGCTCCCCTGACGATGTATCCCACACATACACAGAATCGTCGTCGTATGCGATGGACGCAATTTGGTGGCCACTGGGCGAGTACTCCAGAAACCGAATCCTACCCAAATGCCCTGTTAAAGTCAGGATATGTTTTCCAGACGTTGCTTCGCATATGTGAATCTCTTTGTTGTCAGTGGGAAGAGCGATGTACCGGCTGTCCGGTGAATAGGGGTTGAAGCCATTGATAGAAGCTGCATTCCTCGACCAGAGCTTGTTCCATGTCAATGTATCGAAGACATTGACCATGCCGTTCGTAGTCCATACAGTCAGTGTTTTCCCATCTGGCGAATATGTGCCGCCGGAAGCACTTGAATCGAACTCCAGATATAACCATTCGCCGAACTGCACTCCCTTCATCAATGCACCACTCAGGTCTGCTTCGCGAAGCCAGCTATTGGCCATCTTGACCCTTCTCAAATCTGCTTCTTGAAGCTGAGCTGAATCAAAGTTGCCATGTCGTAAATCCGCTCCTGGGATCCGGATCCCGCGCAAATCGGCTCCACCGAATGACATACCAGCACGAACCAGGATCGTCATGGCGTTCGCTGCTGCTATCCGCCACTTGTTGTCCTTCCTCGAATGCTCAATATATCCCAGCAGCTGTCGTTTGAATACAGGCTCCAACTGAGTTCGCTCCACTAGGAACTGCATAATAGATGACTCGTTCACAAAGCTCTTCCAAACTAAAGGCGACGCCTCATTGGGCTCGGGCTCTTGTGTATGTAACACACTCAACTCGTCGTCCTGTGATTCAAAGCTGTAAACAGAACTGATACTTCCTCGTCTCATTGATGGTGTTGGCACTACATCGTCAGCATTCATTGCTGTAATGTCCTTTGCCCCCCGCGGCTCATATATCGCTCGGACCAAACAGTATTCCAGAACCGAACGGTGGATAAAGCGGAACTGGTTGCCGATACGGATCAGGGGCGATGCCTCGCGCAAAAGATGCTTGTCATCCTCTCGGTTGAAAAACTCCTCCTTCCATGTACCTTTGTCCTGGAACGGAGAGTAATCTACAACAGAGCTGCCGCCTTGGTTCCTGTAAATTGCAGTTGCCAACGCAGTCAGATACCGGATCCCGTTCTGTGCAAAACCCTCGTCGCATAGTATCTCAAATGTTCTTCTATCTTTCGACTTCAATGTGCCATTCAATCGCTTCTTGCCTCGCTCGAGCCATAATTGGATGTATTGGTCATAGAGTGAGACGCGTTTGACCTCTGTGGAGCCTCGATATGGATCTGCCATCTGCGGTAGGACTTCAAGTGACAGCGACAGCAGGAATGGGTTCCTCACTAGGCCTTGGAGACTTGGTACCTGTTTTAATGCGTTTCGATAGTCTCCAACTCGCCACACTGGGTCTACGACTTTTACATACTGCACAATGTAATCATCAACTTGGGCATTAGAAAATGGTGTGATAAATGCTTCTTGGAATAGGCAGTCCCCCGTCTGCTGGTCACGGTCTGCTGGTTGAAAGCGGTCCCGATAGTCCTGGCCAAGGTGCTCACTGCGGCAACTGATCACCATCTTGACTTTCCATTCTCCTTTCTCATTCAGCTTGTTGCTCATATACAAGTTGCTTGTCAGCTTCGTTTCGTCATATCCATCACAGATGAGAATGAGCTCG